TCCCATAAACATAGTAAGTATAGACTGAGCATCCATTGTATAAACGGTGATGCATACGATGAGAGAGAGAAAAGATGTAAGAGGAGTCTCTCTCTCTTTTCAATACCGAAGAAGTGGGGAGAGCCTGCGCAAGAGCCTGCGCGATATGGTTTAAATGCGCAGACGACGCTAATGTAGTATAATAGGGGAAATGACGAACCGGCGTGAGGAGATGAGGAGAAGTGCTCCCCACTTCACCGAGATTGAAAAGAGAGAGAAACTCCTCTTACATCTTTTCTCTCTTTCTCATCAAATGCATCACCGCTTATACAATGGATGCTCAGTCTATACTTGCTATGTCTATGCTTTATCCGTTAAATCAATTGTTAGAGAAAAACGCCATTTTTAAATGGACAAAGGACTGTGACATAGCGTTTAATAAAGCCAAACGAGAATTTGGTAGTGAAAGAGTATTAGTATCCTTTAATCCTAAATTGCCTTTGGTATTTGCTGTAGATGCCAGCCCGTACCGAGTAGGAGCAGTTCTGTCGCACACATACCCGGATGGCACAGAACGCGCAATTCAGTATGCGTCAAATTCACTGACGAAAACACACAAAAAATATTGACAAAGAAGCATTTGCTATTATATTCGGTATCAAAAAATTCCACCAATTCTTGTATAGAAACCATTTCACTTTGTTAACAGATAATAAACCCTTAGCACAAATTTTAAATCCCAAAAAAGAACTTCCGGCATACAATGCGTAACGCATACAACATTACGCGATATATTTGCAAGCGTTTCATTTTGACATTAAGTATCGCAAATCCAAGGTGCATGGAAACGCAGATGGATTTTCACGGTTACCCATAAAAGAGAAAAGGGTTGGAAATTTTGATACCATCGATATTTTGCTACAGTACACTACATATTTTGCTAAAATTAAGCTACAGAACAAAGGGTCTAGCCGTAATTTCGGTTGATATTTATACCACATAATGCTTTTTGCCTAAATAACAATTGTGTACAATTTCAACCCCCTACCCCCTTTAATAAGGGAGATATGAGGGTAAAACCCCAAAACTTTACTATTTTTTTTCTCGGAAACTATATAAGATATTTGAACATATTAAAGTACAAATAGTAGGTATTCATTAGCTGTATTTCATATTTTTTTTCAAAATTTTTATCCGATGATTAAGGGTTGAAAATTAATAAATAAATTTTTGAAAGTGATTTTTATAAATAATCCCGTGAGTGACACCCACCGAAAAAATTAAGAATAATCCTTTACTATTTAACTATTATCTGCAAAAGTTTCAAGAGCGTCGGATTGGTACATCATAGTTAAAAAAAATAAAACCAATGCAACACCTTTTCATAAGGCAAAGCCAGGCTAAACGTTAGAGGTGCTCAACTAACCGAAATACAGCTAATGAATACCTACTATTTGCACTTTAATATGTTCAAATATCTTAAATAGTTTCCGAGAAAAAAAATAGTAAAGTTTTGGGGATTTACCCTCATATCTCCCTTATCAGAGGGAGTAGGGGGTTGAAATTGCACACAATTGTTGTTTAGGCAAAGAACATTATGTGGTATAAATATCAACCGAAATTGTTGCTGGGGCCGATTCACTATGCTTATACGGCTAGACCCTTTCCCGTAATGTCGTTCCGTTCAACCGGACACTCTTGTTCGTATCTCCACCCAGCGATAATAACTACCGAAAACATCTGAAATCGAGCTGAATCGTGTAAACATGTGCATCCATGACTGTTAGATAGCCGTTGAAGTACGAGTGATGCTTTTAGCGAATCGGTAACTTTGAACGTAGTGGCCTTGGGTAAAAGATTATCACAGTGCATTCGCTCGGGGCTCAATCAAATCGGCAAATTATCTGCTTTAAAATGAACTAAAGACCATGATACTACGGTGTCCTATGCTGAGATACAGCGAGTTAAAAATAATATGGTAATTGCGCGGTTTTTGGGCATGTCGCTAAAAAGACCTGGTACATGAAAATCTTCATCAAAATGAAAAAGCTAGAGACGCATCTTAAAGAGAAAATACTGCTTCTTTACCGAATGATCTACGATGATTTGATCGCTTTCTAGGAGCGGTTAAAGTCAAAAGGACGACTTTTACTTCAAAATTGAATAACTCAGCCAAAAAAAATCGTACAACAACTAAAAACTACTGATTTTACATAGAAAGGTAGTCGCTTTCTACTAGTATAAATGCAAATTGCTAAAAAAATTTTCTTAGTGCCATGCACCGTTACGAAGTTGAACAAAATTTTTAAAAATTGTCGAAGTGCTACTTATATAACTTTTATAAAATTCAAGATAGCTAAAATCTTAAAAGAAGTTTTGAAAATAGAGATTTCACAGCTTCAAATGATCTTTCCGCAATATCGATTCGACCATTGTTCTCAAAGTTATAACCATCTGAATTTCGTCTTATTTTTCAGGTTCTTAGAGGTGATCCCTTAATTGTTTTGCAGAGTGTATTATAGGTAGCGGCGCTGATAGCAAAAACCGATTTCGCTAGTGCTCCGATTTGATGGTCGATGAGTCTACACCGAACCAGCACAAAATAAACACGTATTTAGTAATTGCACACAGGGTTCTTTAAATATCCAACCAACCCATTTTCCAAATAATATAACAAAAACAATAATTCATATTAACGAAACAAGCAATAGGAATAACATTTGCGGAAACAAACGACGAAATTTCATTATTACTACTGTGTAAAGCTTCCCAGATAGCACCGTACATTCCAAGGACGTCCGTTTTATGTCCAGATTATGTCTGAACGTCCAACGTCTATTTTGAACATCTTTAGGTTGTCCATAAGACGTATACAGGATGTCCCAGAACTTGGGTAGGAGCCGAAGAGGGATGATTGGTGAGGTCATTCTAAACAACTTTTTCCTTTGCCAAAATGTTGGTTAAGGCTTCGTTTTCGAGTTATTATCGAAAAACACTGTCCAATCAGAGCGCGCCGTTAGCGCGGGCCGAACCACGAGAGTGTTGGGTATGTTCCGCGCGGTCGTGATCAAGTGCCGAGGCACCACGTCGGTGTAATAGGATTCGTTGTTCATGAGTAATCAATAATTCGATACAATTATTCTTTTCTTTTTTTTATTCATTATCCGATGCAACTTCTACTCAACGAATCCCATCATACCGACGTAGTGCCGAGGCACTTGATCACGACCGCGCGGAACATACCCAACACTCTCGTGGTTCGGCCCGCGCTAACGGCGCGCTCTGATTGGCCAGTGTTTTTCGTTAATAACTCGAAAACGAAGCCTTAACCAACATTTTGGCAAAGGAAAAAGTTGTTTAGAATGACCTCACCAATCATCCCTCTTCCGTTCCTAACCCAGTTCTGGGACACCCTGTATATACGTGCTTATAAATCGTAAACAACAAAAAATATAAAAAAATAGTTGAAATAAAAGTTATACCGTTTCTTGAGGTCTATAAAACTGCATGTAAATTTTTTTTTTAAATCATCCTTTTTGCAAAATTGAATTCTCCCTCCCCCTCCGTTTTGAAAAACTTCACGCAGTTTTATAGACCTCAAGAAACGGTATAACTTTTATTTCAACTATTTTTTGATATCTTTTGTTGTTTACGATTTATAAGCACGTATATAGAAAGGGCGGTTCGGATAAAAGGGTTGATATCTCCCTCAAAGTGAAAAACGGGCACCAACGAATTACAATTATCTTCATAAACAGGTCTAATAAATATTTATGCAAAGTTTCATCAAAATCGGAGTGTATCAGTCCCCGATGTTCCCTTGTGAGTAAAGTAGCGAGAGAATCACCCTGTATTAGGAAAAAAACGCGTTTACATATTTCAATATTACCCTTCTTATGAAACTATGTTACATTCGTATATGAATACATCTCATGAGTACGAAAACATTTTATTATACCTACCTGAATCCGCGGCTGTTTACACAGTTAAATTCGCCATTCGCCATAATAATGATTTATACTTTTAAAGTAATAATAAAAAATTTGAAGTACTTCACCGAAACAAATTAGAAATATTGTTGTTCATCGATTAAATGTAAAATTTTAAAAAAAGTATATGATGCTTTTAAAATATTTCTTAGCTATAAAGTAAAACTATAAGGGCAAAGCTTAGTTGCATATTATTTTCAATTAGATTTTTTTTATTTAGAAGCTAAATACATTATTTTACATTGACATGTAAATAATTTATATTAATAAGATAATGTAGATTATGAATAACATTATTGTTCAACGCGTATTTGGATAATTAATGTTTAATAAATATTTTCTGTAGATTTTTATAAACTACATATGAATTCAGTATACTGTTTTTCTCTAGCAGCTTCAGTTTCTGGCGAAAGGATGCTATATATAAAATTTGGAAAATGGAAACAAATCTAAAATTAAATTTCAAGTGAATATCATTTGAAATTGGATCTCTCATTCCAGGGTTATATTTACAACAACACTATATCTTTGAACCCAACTATCTATTACCAATTTCGTGGTCTACTAAATTGGTTCGTTTTTGTAATAAAACTAAAAGTAACGAAATAACTAAAAATTTTCACTTTCAAAAAAATCAATTTTTTTTTAAATTGTTGCTACTGCTAAAAAATGGTCTGCAGACTCATGAAAATCTATAAAAAGTGCCTACAGAATATGAATGATCTAAATCAAAATTGAAACATGTTGAACAGTATAATCGTTATTGTCTATAAAATAATACTATATCTTTATTTTTTAAGCAATCTATGTATTTAGTAAACACAAATTTAATAACATTGATGTATGAATACATAGAGCAATTTCCTTATAGATAAAATATTATTATAAATTCATAATATTGTAAATATGAATTTAATTAAAAATTAAATAAACTTCTCAAAACTTATAAAATGTATTAATGCATTTATTTTTTTAAATACATTTTTAATATCATTTCAGTATTTCATGGTTTATTGATAAAATGAGCCAAAATATAATTGTTTTGTTTATATTTAAGTATTAAGGAACATAAATACAATTCAATCAGTGCTTCGTGTTCGATTTCTCCCATTGAACGAGGATGTTCTATAATTAACATTTATTATATTTTACTAAATACTATATACATAATAAATGTTACACTTAAAATAAAAAATTATAATGTTTTGTGTAAAAATATATAGTCCCTTAAACGAGATGGCTTACTTGTTACAATGAGTCTCAAAGATTCTGGCAAACACAGGTTGTATTTGTTCTAATATATCAGATGTTAACATTCCTCTCTGTTTTAACTTATATGTAGATATATTACATTCTCTGACTAATCTAGACGCAGCATAACAGGCAGCTATTGGAGCTGATAAAGCACTTTCAGTATTTCCTGCACAAATAGCCCACCACCAAAATACAGCTAATGCACCAACTAATAAATCTCCTTGCCCTCCACACCTTCTTCCAGAGCCTGCCAATCCACATGACACTGCTTCAGTACCTTTATGACCATCTGCAATTACATCCTTTGCTCCTTTATGTAAAATTACTACATTTTTTCCAAGCGCATCTGCCAAATGTTTAACATCATTAACTTTGGGCATTGGTGTAGGTTGAATACTTTTATCGAGCACTCCTTTCACTAAGCGACTAAATTCCATTGCATTTGGAGTAAGAATAGCACCTGGATATTCTTTTATAATATCAGGTTTCTGACTAATTAAAAATAATCCATCAGCATCTATTACCAATGGTTTTTTCATTTCACGGCAAACTGAAATAAGTTCCACAATTGTTTTAAATATCTTGTCTTCTCTACCAAGACCAGGTCCAATAATAATCACATGTAAACGATCCAACCAAGGTCTTATGTGTTTAATTGCATCATATTGATCTAAGACAGGATGAACAATAGGCTCTGGACTAAATGATTTTAAAGGAGTACTTGCTTCCTTGGTACAAAATATGTGTACTAAATCGCATCCAGTGCGCAATGCACTCATAGAAGCAAAGTACGGTGCCCCTGTATATTCAGTACTGCCACCAAATATTCCAATTCTGCCATCCTGACCTTTGTACTTGGTATTATTGAGATTTGGAATTATTCTTCGTATTCCCTTTAACATACGCTCATCAACTGATACCGATGTAGTCATTGTGGAAACTAATTGTAAGATATACTTGATAGAGTTCCTGTGAGCAAAATGGAAAATACTAGGAGCCATTCCTTAACTTAATAATAAATTCGTTTTAATAATTATTTTAAATATGATTTTTAATGAATAATATAAATCAATACTTTTCTAACACGTGTTTTAAGTTCCACTATAAATTATTTTATTAATGTGATGGTACGTAAAATAATATAAAGTTTATACAAAATTAAAGATACACTTTGATATTTGTTACCTGTACCAGTTGCGACAAACACGGGATATGTTTATCGGTATTAATCAAGAAGAAATCGAACAAGAACAGCAGAATATCAAATATTACAAAGAAGTCAATAACCTATAACGTGTTTTACAGACATAATATTGTACATTATAATATTATAATACATTAAATTTTGTAAATTTTATGTAATATAATTGTTCTTTGCACTTTAAATATGTTAGTTAGTTTACATAAAGAGAAAACAATATAATAAAAACTGAAAATTTTTAAACTTGATAATTTTAAAGTGTAAACAAGTTATGATTGCGAACTTCAAACTATAATTAGATAATTTTGATAATTGCAAAAAAAACAAAATGAACGAGTCATGTTAAAAGTAACATACATTACAATTAGCAATGCTGTAACAAGAACTCTTTCATTCGGGTATTTTGTATTCGTTTTTATTTAAATTATTATATGTAGAATTTGTTTGTTTTTAGACATGTAGAATTGTTTCAAGTTTCAATTTTTATTCCATAATAAACTATACTAATTTAATTACAAGATTTTTACATGTACTTTTTTAAAAAATTATTTTGCGACACAAAATAGATGAGATATGAAAATATTTTAGAATCAGTAACCTAAAATAATAAATTTTATAAACAATTACAAATTATGAATTGTAGTATATTAAGCGTTCTAAATTTTTATTTACTTTATAAAAGCTGTACTTTCAAGGTTAAAAGTCTGTAAATGTTTAAATGATATTATTCGTAGATGAAGAGTTTTTGTTCATTCTACGCATGTCACTCCTGATTGGCTTCGTAACCAACAATATTGCGCATGTGCCTTTACGAAAATCATGACGCTAAACTGGACATATCCAGAGATGTTTTATTTAGTATATTTTCCCAGCTCATCAGTTCTCTCTCCTGTTCATACATTTTCGTCTACCGTGTATATAACCATGAAATGAGAAGTAAACGGTAGAGCAGCATCATACTGAATCTTTTGAAATAAGTATGAATTTCGGTTGAACGGAGTATATTAAAATTCAAACTGTAGTCATAACTTAATAAAAGGCAAAGGAATCTGTTAAACAAATATGATTTATTGGAATTAGAGAGGACTATAAGGATAAGGATTGACAAGGATACAAAATCAGTATTTTCTCTAACTCAGGAATTACTAAACTTTTTGAGAAACGGGCAAGATTGAAATTTTTAAAAACGTTGGGTCGGACGAAAAATAACCTTATTTACGTGTAAATCATATTAGAACATCAAAGAAGCTGTGTCGCGTGTTGCGTAGCTGATTTCGATAAATTGAACACAGGCGTCGAATAAGCATATACAGGGTGTTTCAGAACTCGCGTTGGTCTCGTGAAGGGGTGGTAGCTGGGGTGATTCTGAACAACATTTTCCTTTGCGAAAATATTGTTTGAAGCTTCGTTTTTGAATTATTCAGAAAAAACAGAGCGCGCATAGCGTGCGGGTTCAGGGACGGCAGCGTCGGCTATGAAACAGGCCCTCCAAGCTCCACTCTTGTGAATTTGATGCAAATTTTAACTCACCCCCGGACTTCCAGGCGGCGCTGATGTCGCTTCTCTACATGCATAGCTTGTATCACTGATTTTAACATACACAACTAAAGATATCGTGACGTCATGTTCCCGCGAAATTTGTCGCCGCTTTTTCAATTGTTTCAAAATTTAAAGAGACAAAAGAATTATGGCGCACATGGTTGCACATGGTGGCAGCGTGGGTGACTGAATTTCCAGGTTCGTGAATTCCATTATTATAATAATTACTATTACTATTATTATGACTATTATTATTATTTAAAAAGATATTTTTTTAAGTTTTTTCTAGGTTTTTAGGTTTTTAATAACTTCTACTGATGAGATGCAGCAACAGCAGAAGAAGATAGAAATTAAGTAAGTAGAGAATTGTTTAAAATTGTTACTGAAAACAGTAACTGTTTACATTGGTGTTTTAGTAATATATGTATTTAATTTTAATTATTAAAATATATCTTTAAAGGATGTTTTCCTTCACTCAGGAGAGAAAGGATAAGAAGAGAATGGCGCAGTGGGTGGAAGTATGTGGTAACCCAAAGTCAGTGCTTCCACTTGAAAACTGAATTTCTGGATGATCTGTAAAGCCTCGTACTGACCTATGCATTTGTGCGCCGAAAACGTTCTTTCGGGCAAAAATGCTGAAGTGAGTACGGCCCGTTAATGTGTCCGCGAAGGCCCAGAGCACGAAGGAACGCTTTTTGACCGCTGTAGCCTCGTACTCACTAGAGCATTCGTGCGCCGAAAACGACCCGTTATGAGTTCGCAAAGGCCCTGGGCACGAACGAACGCTTTCCGACGGCTGTCGGTCCATCAAAGGATATTCGTGCGAACAATTTTACTATGCCGGTTACAAATTTCCAAGTACCTTTAGTCGACCGCTGTTGAATTTACCCTTCGGAAAAACTCAGTTTATGATATGGCCTGATGAACCGTCATAAACTGATTTTCGAAATCCGGAACAATTTTTGATATTAATTGTTTGAATACTTTAAACAGATACTGAAGGCTCGTATATGAATCTCCCGTTGCTAAAAACCGTAGCGTTATAGCTAAGCGTTCTTTCACTGTCATTTCAGCTTTTCTAAATCTGGTGTAGTTTTTTTGAATTTTGGGACCGATAGCGTTTATTAAAAATTCAAAATCTTCCGATGACATCCGCACAAAATTTTTAAAATGTCCACTAGCTTCTATCTGTAAATCTCTAACTACTTTTTCACCACTAGAGGTTGCTCTATTTTTATACATCTGACTAATCTACCATCGTTTATCTTGATTTGTTCTTCTTTTTCTTTTAATTATTGTGTTCATAATAATATACGCTGCACTGGCGATCGTGACATCTGTTCCTGTCGACATTCTGACTTCGACTGGTTTACGGTAGAAAGAACCTTTCTACATAGAACCCAGATACAAAGGTTTACGGTACCCCAGGTAGAAAGATTTGCGCGAACAGCCGGAGAAATTTCACGTTCGTTCGCCGAGAGCATTCGTTTGGGCAAAATGCCCAAGTCAGTACGACTTAACAGCTTAACAGCTATTTTGAAGAAAAATACTTCGTGAGAAAAAGATTAACAACATCAGCAGTGATGTTACTAAAACTTTAGCCTAAAACATTCTTTCTTATTTGCATTTATTTTCGAGAAATTCAATAAAAATTGTTTTGAGAGTAGTTCTAAATATTAAACAACCCTTAAAATACTAAACAACAGGGATGAAGGAGTCAGAAAATCATTTTGACTAATTCTAGTAAAATGCCAACTGTTATCAAAGAAGTATTGACGTTTATTTTGTATATACAGTGCTTGGACAATATTGAGAATAGTGAGAATTTAGTCACTTTGACCTCCCGTATCTCCAAAACTACCCCTATGCTCAACTTAAAGGGTATAGCAGGATAAGATGGTCAAAAGTGCCCTTGAGCCGATTTTATTCAGCAATATACTATTTTATAGCTTATAATAAAAGACCATTGTACACTAAGTTTCAACCCTGTATCTCAACCGAGAGGGTAGTTACAGAGTAAGAAAGAAAAAGTGGTTTTTACCATATTTTCACTATTTACTGGCATTCAAAAAATTTGAAAAAATTCTAGAATATTCTAGCCATATTTCTTTATGATTGTGAATTTCTTCAAATTTTTCGGTTGCAAATCCTAGGCGTGAAAAATCAAAAACGCAAAAAAAAATCGAAAAATTGAGATTTCGGGTAGAAGCTTTCGTGACACTAGATTTTTACTTTTACAGTAGTTAAATATTAGCATGACTGGTGTCCTCAATTTTTTTCAGATTTTTCATTCAGGTGAGTCAAACCAGAAAAAATCAAAAACCGATATTTTCGACATATTTCGTGAGATAACATGAGAAATACTTTCAATTTTTACAGTTCCTTTACACACTTAGTTAGTGCATTATGTAATTTCTAAGACTTCTGCACTGGATGGAGCAAGATCTGAATGGAGAGAGTGAAGTTATTGTAAATAATTGAAAATTACGCACCGTATCTCCTAAAATATTCGACAGTTTTCCAACGTTGTCGGTGGCTGAATGGTTAAGGTGTCCGACCGGAGTCTCACGGTGACCGTGAGGGTGAACGGACGTGCGTGACTGCTGTTCGGTGGTAGTTTTTATTTCTCAGTTATTGGTCTTTGTGTAGCGATCGCACCCAAAGTATTTTTGTATTTTTGTTTTCGTTTTTGTGTTCCTCTGTTCGGAGGCTTATTCGTTTCTTAGCCCTCATGACTTTTTGCTATGTGTTGCGAGTCTACTACGCTCTTCTGTGATAGTGGTTTCTATAACGCAGTGGCGGGCTGGGCCCGTAAGGCCCATTCTCCAATGGCGTCCCCAACCACGCATAAGGCAAAGCGTGGGGCTTCGGCTGGTGACCCGGACAGACATGCTTCATCGCTTGAACATACAATTCGACTAAGGGAAGCTAGAACGCCTAGGTTACATTCCCTGCAACTTGATAAACTGTACAAGCAAGTCATGAGTGAGCTAAAACCTAAGCCGTGCAATATGGCGCCCAACCTAAATACGGCGAAACCGCGTGCGGCTACCACGCTATCCTCTGGAGCCGCCATCTTGGACAGTGCGCATGCGCAGAAGTCAGGTCCTAGCGGCTGGCAAATTCCGAAGAAAACGGTCAAAATTACGACCAATGAACCCGTAACACCGGCACTGGGCGTTTCAAGCGGAGGCTGTAACAGATTCAGTGAACTTTCAGCTGGTAGTGCTGAGATGGATGCCGAGGACATTGACGACCCGGCCGACGTGACTGGGTAGCCAAAAGCCGCAAAAGCTCATAGACCCCCACCGATCTATTCTGTCAACACGTCCTGCAGGCGCTTATTCATTTGGCTAAGAATGTGAATTTGGCTAAAGGAGACTTCACAATCAAAGAAGTCGGGGCGGATAGCCACACAATTTACATTAATCAGCTGGAGCATTTTGAGCTATTTAAGAATAAGCTCACAGAGGCCAAAGTACATTTTTATACGTATACCCGTAAAGGTCAGAAACCAAAATCGCTGATCATTAAAGGGATCAGAGGCGATTTTCCCTGTGATGATATCAGGGCCGAGATTCAGGAACTGCAACTAGCTAATGTGGAGATTATTAGCCTCAATAAATTCCATTTCAACAAGAGGGACCCAGATAGATTCTACCACATATTACAAGTATCTAGTGGTAGCCAGACGGCCGAGCTGTTCAAAATCAAGTCTCTTGCCTTCCAGAAGGTGAAGTGGGAGCACCTCATGGGAGTTTCGCTGTGTTAAGTGTGCGCAAACGCACACTCCGGGTAGCTGTCTCATCACGGAGGCTTCTGAGAAATCGGCGCTCAAGTACGCGAACTGTGGACAGGAGGGGCATCCTGCTTCTTATAGAGGTTGCCCATTCATCAAATTTGCGATGCAGAGAAAGAAGTCGCAAACGGCGAACCAGAAGCTGCGTGGCATTAGTGCGCGGCAAAGCATGGTGAGGAGGGGCATGAGCTTCGTCACAGCCGACTCTAGTACTAGCCGTGCTGAAGTAAAAATGGCAACACCGCGGGAGTCCGGTCTGAATATATCAACACCTACCCTACTCTATCTGCATCCCGGACTCCCAGACTCTCAGCCAATCAACGTCGTCAGACTCCCGACTACTCTCTGGACTTCACATAACCTCTTTGGTTTCGTTCCAATAATTTCGCTTGTTTCAAGGTTTTTATTAACTTATATACACGTTTATCAATTCTTAAATGTTTCAATTTGATCCAAAGATGGTTTCATTTTGCTTCATACCTAAATTTTCTTGAAACCACTGTAAATATTTTAAATATCATGCTTCACAACATCAAACTACTTCGAGAGTACACAAAATATATATCACATTTATAACAATTTTATACTACCACATCACTTCTGCTTGCCATAGTTGCAACGTTTATGTATTGTTTATACATAATTAACACAAAATAGTGTATATTACTACAGCTTTTAATTAAAAGAGACGTTAATTACAATTCCGAGCATAGGACTCTGTTTTTGAAAATAGGACTCCCGATTGTCACGTGAGCGGCGTTGCCACGTTGTTCAGCATGGCTAGTACTAGAATCGGCTAGGGCTTCGTCCAAGCGTTGGGCCTTAACCAGGGTGAGGACCCCCCAACGCCATCTTTAGTGGAGTTGCAGCGGACCAGCTACCCCCTGCCCGGCAAGCCTGTTGGAACCCAAGCGCCCCCCAACCTTCTGAATCCCCTAGTTGGTTGAATGAATTCAAAGCGGAAATTTCTCTGCTAGTTTCACAGTAGCTTAAATCACTATCTGCGCAGATCACGGCCAACTCTGAGAAAATCGAATTTATTTTTAATTCTGTGTTCAGCTTTCATAATGACTAATATCCCTGTTCCTGTTAGTAACATTAAGATAGTGGCGATTAACGTTAACTCGTTATGTGCTAACTATAGAAGGCTCGAATTGTTAGACTTTGCACGTAGGTGTGGCGGCGTATAGAGTACCTATTTTACCGACACGGAAAGTGCATTTCCGGTAAGTTGGCACTAGACAAAAAAGGAGCCACATACTTCCGGAGCGCGCAAAGATTTTCTCAGAGAAGAAAAATGCCTTCTTCCCACGCGAACCGTCGAAGTGGAAACATCGTAGTTTCCTGAAATCTCGATAAAGTGCGCATAGTTCCGCGGTTTTCTTTGTGCGAAGTCAAACGTTAATAATTAGTTAAGTTTGTTCATAGTTCAAGTTTAGTTCGAATCAATTAATTGTAAGAATTAGCAGCTAGTGCGCTCTGAAATAAACTAGTTAAAACATTACCCTGTTGATTCTCTTTCCTTCGACGGATAAGACAGTTTAGTTACGCGTGAGAGTGTAGCCAACGCTACATAGGTATGGTTACGACGCCATCTTTGTATCGAAAACCAAACTAAATGCCAGTCACAAAGTTTCCTTCCCTAATTACACTTTTATTAGGAACGATAGACATGCTTCTAATCATGGCGGAGGAACTGCTATCCTGGTCAGGAAGAATCTCCAGTTCGAGACCATTAATCTCCCGCTAATGCGGGGATTTCAAATTATCGAGGGTACTATTTTAAAGTTCCCCTCACTTCACAATAAGAATCTATTTGTAGTCAGTATCTATGCTCGCAATGATAACAGGGTATTATTTGCTGAAGAGCTCTTTGCCCTTTTCCGTGCTCTTGAACTTCATAGAGATGAGAACTATTTTATTATGGCTGGTGATTTTAGCATTAGATGTAAACAGTGGGGCGATCGTGCGAATAACCAGCGGGGTCGATTTTTTACGCGATGGACTGAACTATTTGAACAAGAGTTTAAGATTAATGTGATTACACCACATTCCCCCACTTTCAAACCGGCACACACCTTTCTCGACATTTGCTTAGCTGACTCCCGGCTAGCTCACACGAATCGCCACGGTCTCACTAATAAAGCGATTACGCTCCCATATGATAGCGACCACGCGGCAATCTCTATTTCCTTTGAGATTGGGAATGACTCTATCCTCCTTGGATGTACTAATCCGCTGCCCCAGCGACTCAATTATAAAACCACCAATTGGGAAACCTTTATTGAGAGGTTGGGTGTCAATTATTCTTCTTCAATTCCGGACAATCGTAATCTGTCAATTACCGAAATTGACAGTGAGCTATTTGTCATCAATAACTGCATTATAAACACCATTCAGGAGACGGTACCTTGTTTTTCAACCAATCGTGCCCCTAATCTAGTTAAATATATAAATAGTAAAATTTCTAAATTGCAGCGTAAGGAGAGAAAATATAAAAACTAATATAAAAACTTTTATATTAATATTTTCTATTTCTCTAAGAAAACTTTACCCACACTCGTCAATTTCCCTTGAGTTCACATGTATTTTCATTGACGTAACTAGGTAGTCTCCCTCCCCAAAAATGTGGATCTTCGAGATTCTAAAATTTTAACATTTCAAAGTTCCAGAATTTCAAAATCTTAACACTCTAAAATTTCAGATTCCCCACTCTAAACTTCACATTTCAGATCTTTAAAATTACAAATCTTCGAAATTTCAGAATCATAATTACAAAATTCTAAAATATCAAAATTGCAGCATTACGAAATTTCCGACTTTCTATTTCAGCATCATAAATTTTAAAGGTTTGATTTCCGACATTTTAGATTCCAGATTTTAGATTTTTTAGATTTCAGAATTCCAGCATTTCAAAATTTTAGATTTAAAAAATACCAAAATTTTGAGATTTTAAAATTATAAAATTTCAAAATATTAATATTTCAAACTTTCAAATCCCAGAGTTGTAAAATTCCAAAATTTCAGCTTCTCTAAATTCCAGAATCCCAGAATTCAAAAATTTCAAAATTTTAGTTCCTAAAAATGAAAAAATTTTAAAACTCTATAATTTTTAAGGGATCTGGTCCATCCAAGTTACGCCGATGCGCGTTATTCACACGGAAAACATAAATAAACAAATAGCCAATGATTGTAGAACTGTGCCACAGATGCAAGGGAACCGTACAGAAGCCAATGAGCTCGCTAATTCTTTGCTTTTTATAAGTGCCCGCCTGTAGATCCAATAAAGTTGGGAATTATCCGACGCTTACTGTACTGTACATATGTATATAGCCCTAATCTCCACGTGTCGTTCAAATGTTCAGTTACCTGTATTACAGAGGATAATATTTTTAATATAAATATAGGCATTAACGTATTTGTTTATCAAATTGACTGATCAATTATTTTACTCATATTGAAATACTGCATACATATCGTAATTCTTCGTAAAGATTTTATTTGTAGATCAAAGATCAATATAAATAGTGATGATGAAACTTATATAACTATTATCGGTAAAATTTTATCTTATCACTATTTTTCAGACATCTCTAATAATTGCGTTCAGAACAATCGAATAACCAATAATAATTTCAGATTTGATGCCACTTATTCAATGGTTTTTGATATCCTCATTCAAAATGTACTACATTTATAATTAGCTGAAGTGAGTAATACGAAACAGTGTGTTTTAAGTCGTTTCTCGAAGTGAATCGAACTGGATAGAATAATTGTATTCAGGTAAATACTTTCTTTAAAATTAAGGGGGGAGTTTCATTTTTTCGGTGGAAAAAAACGACTTTTTCGGGAATATTTTTCACCAAAACTATGCGGTACTTTAATTTCATCTTTGGTGCATCTTTTGGCAATATATTTTTGTACTTAAAAATATTTTTATTATCAAAAATATTGCATTGTGTTCTTCGTGAACTTGAATGCCGCGTGGGGTGCCTCATTTGCTGGTGTGCACGATATCAGCTGTTACGATTATCTGAAACCAAAAAATCCAATGGTATTTTGTTCTGTATACATGTAGTTATCGTTTGAACTAGAAGTAAGAAAAGAAAATTGTTTTTGAGAAAATGGCAGCTTGTCAAACTTGGATGATCGATTTTACTCTTAAAATTGATAACTTTTCTTGCGATAAAAAGAAATATGTACAACGTATCACTTTTTCTCTAGTTTAGACGATAAAGGGATGTCTTCTGAACATACAGTTAAAATTTCAAGTCAATCGATTCAATAGTTTTTTAGAAATCATGACCGCCAGTTGTAAAAAACCTGTTTCGAGAAAAACGCGTTTAAAGTTTCAAGTTGAATTTATGAAGATATATCAAGTACTTACAGCTAATCTGCTATACCAAGGCCATAGAGTATTCCTTCTTCTTGCTCGTAGAATTCGTCTCTTTCCTGTTGTTGCATCCGTTGTTGTGTACGAGCTTCTTTTGTGATTTCATGGCTCCGTCACGTCGATCGCTCCAGTCGCTTTTCACCATGGGCATTGCAAAAAATTTTCGTCTACTCACCAATATCAATTCCGATGGTTATCATTACTTTTAAAATAACAGAAAAGCCTTCATTATAAATGCTGGCTGCTATATTTCTACTGTTTTGAAGCCACAGTGTAGATGTTTGGGGGCTAATCGCCAGACAGTAGAATTAAAACTTTCGTTACTATTTTGTGTTTCACCACAATGGTTCGTCAATTCGTAGTGTCATGGAAAATAAAAAAGGAGAAAAGAATATAAACTTTATGGTACAGAGTCCCGTGTGTTCGTCACGAAACACAAACAGTTGCTACGCGCTTCAAAATATACCTGCGCGCCAAGTCCGGTTTACGGTTTATAACTTTCACAATCTAATTAGTTTAGAATTAAAACTTTGTAGAAGTATTTTCAAGACTTCAAACTACAAGATTACGTAAAAAAAAAAAAAAAATCGATTTTTTTCACCAAAAAAATGAAACTCCCCCCTTAAGCGTTGTTATTTTATCTGTTCCCTTGTTTATTTCTTATTTATTAGAATGGTTTAACCAAATTATGTTGTCAGATTCAGCAATAAAATTATCAAAAAATAAGAAAAATTTCATTTTACTTCGTTTATTTTGTTTTTTAGAAAATTTCCAAATTTTTTGCTCCTTTTGCCCATTTAAAAATTTAATTTAAACTTTCTACTTGTAACCACGCTAGAAAGGTATATTGTTTGAAATAAAAGCAGTAAATAAATAGTTATTATCTCCCTTTCTCACTCCAACTGAAAGCTTGAAAATTTGAAAAACTGTTCATTTTTATAGTCTCGTCCGCGGCAATATAACGAGAGCCTACTGCAAAATGAACTACATGTAGAGCTAGATAAAATTTGTAGAAAAAATATTTAAAATTAGATATTACAAAGTTTAAATAAAATAGTATTTTAAATAGGAAACGAAATATTTCAGTTTTATTTTAATAACCTGAAACATAAAATAAAATGATTTTATTTATTGAAAGTTTGTCATAGGCAAAAGTTAAAATTCAGTTGAGTTTTGTCATGTGTCATTTTCGATGACTGCATATTAATAATCAGTGATTAATTTTATTTATTTCTTATCAAAAGGTGACGAGCTTACATTAACAATCAATTTTGTTAGTATAAAAGAATATATTAGTAGAATATATTAGTATGTTAGTATAAAAGTTACATTAATTTCAATTCATTAGGTATTAATTAATCGAAATAAAATTAAAAAATTAACAATAGAAATATGAAATATTTACATACTTAATCTATTAATGAATATAATACTGTTTATTATTTTCAAAAAATAAATTTAAAAATGGCAAGTTAATTATTGTATTATGATTTTTTCATTTCGTTTAATAATTATATTTTGTCTACAAATAAAATCTTCACAAAGATTTACGATATGTGTGCAGTGTTTCAATATAAGTAAAATATATATATTTTTTAACATAAAGGACTTTTCGATAATAACTACATAATTATTGTTTATTCTATTTTGCAGCTTTTATTAATTTTCCGATCGATAAGGATTTGGTGAACATTAGATCAAGATGACTGGCTTTGAACTTCTTTGTGGGCTCGTCCTAATCTTTCTTACCTTTTACTACTATTTAGTACGCGATTATGATTTTTGGAAACGACGAGGCATTTCTGGACCCAAGCCAGTACCACTTTTTGGCAACTTTATGAATTCACTATTGGGAAAAATATCTTTGGGTGATGAAATGGTAAAATATTATAAACAGTACAAACATTTACCTGTGGTGGGACTATTTATTCGTAACCAACGAGTCTTGGGTATTATTGATCCTGATATAATTAAAACCATCCTGATCAAGGATTTCTCTAAATTCGCCGATCGTGGACTTAGAGTGAACAAAGTGGTAAGTTTGTAAAAAAATTTAAATTTTATAAGCGTACCTGGTTTCAATTGCTAAATGTATTATATGAAATTTTAATTCATATTTTTATTGTATACACGCGATCAAATCAGGCGTTTCTAGGGAAAATGGCGATATAGGAGAAGCAGGAATTCTTAAAATTTTCATTTTAACAATATTAATATTTCAAGTAATTAAATATTATAAAATTTAGTATATAACTGACAAGGAACGATTCCAAACTCAGGAATCCAAAAGATTATGAAACTTTGTGAATATGTAGGGGCTATCCCCCTCATTAAAACGCAATTTTTTTTCTTGCCCGTTTTCAGTCTAAGGGGGTGAAAATTGTCCTTAAAATTTCGGCCGTTTTTCTTTGTTTTTTCTTTTTCTCCAAAACCGTTAAAAATATCCGAAAACTTCATAAATAAAAGTTGTTTATCTTAATGTATAAAATAAAAAATTATTCAAACAATTATTAAAAGTTATAAATAAAAAAGCTTAAAGATTATTGAAAAGTTCTAAAGCTTGTTATGAAAGTAGGAAATGGTCTGTTGTTTAAAGCGATGTAACGTTTAATGTTTACCATTTGCTATTTTAAGGGGACAAAAGGTATTACTGAATATAATGGTATATTTCGTTCTTATTTTATTATTTGCAAACAGTAACTGATATAAAAAGGTCCTTAGGACAATAATTATTACCGTTGTGTAAAAAAAAAAAACCACAATGATGTGCCATGTAGGTTTTATATTAATATCTATGAAGATGGAACTCTTGAAAAAAATGTTTAAAGCACAAAAATTGATTGTATCATGAATAACGTATTATAGCATAGCTACCACATATGGAACAACGTGGCGGGTTTATAGAATCTTCTTGAGCAAAAGCAAAATCAACAAGATTTTCAAAATTACTTGGTTTTTTCCATGTACCCACTTTTGTACCGTGCATATGAAAACATATTGTGATATTTTTGTAGCGATAATTAGTGATAGCTGATGAGGGGAATATCCTCTACCTATTCATAAAGTTTCATAATTTTTTCGATTTCCGGGTTCGGGATCATTCCTTATGAAAAGTATGAATCGTAAATAAATATTAATTAAAATTTTCGTGTATAAACGTTTGCACGCAAGTGATAGGGTCAAACTCCTATATATTCATTATCATTTTATTTAAAATTGGTAATGTTGTATATTAAAATTTGATTGATCAATTGAAGTTTAAAATAGCTGAATCTATTAATCCAACATCATTGTATTTATATAAATGACACATACAGGGTGTTTCGTTTAAAACAGGCCACCTAAATATCTCCTCTATCTCTGAAAATACAAAAAATGTTTCTGACGTAATCTAAATGGTTTCAAAAGACAAATCAGATGGAAGAACCTTTTTTTATAAATTGTAATTTTTTAATCGTTTTTTTGAGGTCACTCGTGTTTAAATTTTAGAGTCCACGGTCACTTCAAGGTCGTGCTATTAAACATGGATGAATGCACAATAATATTTGCTATAACATACAACAACAAAAAATGTGTGTACATACGTAAAAGACCCGAGTGACCTAGAAAAAACGATTAAAAAATTACAATTTATAAAAAACGATCCTTCCATCTGATTCGTCTTTTTTAACCATTTCGATTACGTCAGTAACATTTTTTGTATTTTCAGAGATAGAGGGGCTATTTAGGTGGCCTGTTTTAAACGGAACACCCTGTATATTATGTTATACATATTTCGTACAACTCACATCTATACATATAAAGCGTAAGGACATCTCCGTGTCACTTTTCACCTCGAGAACTACTGGGATTAGAGATACACTTTATACATCATTAGAAAGGTCCCACTGAGCCTAACTGAAAACCGTTATGTTTGCGCGTCTAAGTGGTTGGAGTGAAAAGTTACAGGGATTTCCATTTCCTGTAGAAAGTCTATGGGTCGCACCTTTTCGCAGCGCGCGCATGCCCCCAACAGTACGTAATGTCTTTGAAAAGGATTACGCTGGTAGTATGCAGCGCGTGCGCGCCTAACAATAGTTTTTGCAGACGGTCTATATTTCAAAAACGCGAATTTTCCAAGGGACGAACGGCTCGTATATAGTTTTCATATAACTCCGCTAGATTCTGGAATGGAATACCGCAGAAGCGGAAGGTCAATTGTATTTTAATTATATGTATTATGGATTCTTTAGATGTTTAAGAATTTTCTGATGTAATAGAAAAGAGATTTCCGTTAATGACCGGTACGACTTAAGATCACTACCGGTTCTCGTCCGATCATCGAAGTCAAGCAAACAATAAGTTGGGCGCAGATAATAATACTTTGATGGGTGGCCTCGTGGGAACTCCATGTGCTATTAATCTTCGTTTTTTTTTTCTAGAATTAAAAAATTTGACTATTGTATCCGATAAAATCCTCTTTTATTTAATTTTAAATATATTAATTACACAAATCTTAAAATGCATTTGTATTACACTGTCTATGACAGTTAGCATTCCGGTTTCGGTATCTACGGTTTCAGTTATTCGTGATTCGAAATATCAAAGTTTTAGAAATTTGAACGATCCGCATAGAAGTGAAAAAGAAAATAATATCGAAACTCAAAATATAAAACAAAAGCTTTAATAAATAAATAATGAGATAAAAATATAGTTAAATATTTTGGTCAGATAATCAAAGAAAGGTAAATAGGTTTGGATACAAAAAATCATTAACTTAAGAAACAATTACAATGTAATAATTTTAGTTTTTAGTTTTTGGTAACAAAAATTGTTAAAGCAAAAATTTAATTTTTTGAAAATTTTATGCAAAATTTTAAACTGTAATTAAATAGTAACACACTAATATAATTGTTTATGAATTTTAAAGAGAATAAATGTTACAGTAATAATTTTCACAATGCGGTATCAACTCTTGAACTTAGGCCAGGTTGTCAAAACTGAAGGTTGTAAGATTTATCCGTGGGGTTTCATACGGGTTACGCACGAAGAACGTATCGTCACGGCGCGGGGTTGGAGTTCTTTCCGGGTAGAGAGGATCAGTAGATTCATGAAAAGAAGGATTTCAAGGAAGTGCCGAGAGCCGCGTGGGCAACGTCTTCTTCCCCGATTTTATTGATAGGATGATGCCGTATATACGTCTTCCTCAGAGTCGGAAAGGAGGCGTTGAGGTACCGGTCATCGTGAGAGTCTCAGTTGCCAAAAGCCTTTGGTGTTATGCTGTAAAAGGTATACTGTTTTTCAGTAAGTGCCGAACAAGTCGTCTTCTCAGCTGAGGGTGCAGTTCGCTTGTCTTCCGTAGACTGGCTTTCCTTGGTTTTTTTTTTTTTTTTTTGAAGGCGGGGTGCCTGTGTTAATTCTGGTCCTTTTTGGAAGAGTCTCTTGGATATTTCTCCTTATACTCTTAGATGGAAGTTCGAGTTGATGGTTTGATCCTTGAAGTGGGTCGTCCTACAGGTGATTGCTCATGCGGGGAAAAAATCCTGCGACAGAAAAAAGGTAGAGCAGTTTGGTTGCTCTAAACAGGATGATTTATTGGCAAGAAGGAATTTGAGTTAGGTTTGGGGGGGAGGGGGAAGCCGTAGACTAACTTTTCTTGGAAAAACGGCCCTGTTTTTATACGAAAAGGTAGGCCCGTCCAATCAGCGAAGGCCTAATACTGAGCGCGAGGGTTTTATGGCATGATCTGAAGGGTCAGCTCTGTGCGTCGGTGCTCGTCGAAATCGTGCATTTAACCTAATATCCTATACACTACATGTTCTTTACATTATTTACACTATACTATATGCTATCTTAGGCGCTACAAGGTTATCATTTTCTTATCATATACCAATGACTGATAGTAAAGATACGTGACAGATAATACCTGTTTAAAAATATCAGCAGATGTATTATATGATATTAATAATCCTTGAAAATGTAGGTTTGTATTGATTAAGAGAATCTTTTAATCTAGCAATCTGAATGTCTGACATAAAAAATTAACGCAGATTATATTATAACTTTGAACGAGGAACGTATAAAACTGATATTTCAATAAGATACGTTTGAACTGATTTAGCGTGATTAATTTACCTCTCTCTGTCTTTGAAAAATGCCTACTTTTAATCATTTATTTTTTTTTGTGGATTAAGAATTAATAGAAACCTCAGCAACAATAAATGTTAAGTAATTGTAAGAAAGGTGGTAGTAATACAGAACAGTTATTTTATTTTTTAACACGTTGGCCGCCCAGCAAAATGTGGTTGTTATAACACAGCGCCGCAATTAATTGTGCCTGACATAATAGTGCAAGTGCAGGGTTATGAAATGCAAATTATCATTTGAGTTTCATAAACATTTTACGCGGTATATGTACAGTATATTTCTTGTACAAACTGTTATAAGAGTATTTCTAAAAGCAGTTTTGTTTGAATTAAAAAAAATGATATAAATATATAATAATAATATCCCGATGTTATATAACTTGCTAACGGCAGACCTGGAGGAAGAATGAGGAAGGGAGGGATAGGAAGTCTCAAACTGGGGGAGAGAAAAGTATTTACTCTAGCCTACGCCGATATAATAATAATCTAAATAATAATAATAATAATAATAATAAATAATAATATAAATCTTACAGAATTAAATGGTAATAAACATTGAAAGTAATTGTGATTGTGATTGTGAAACATTGCAAAATTGTTCAATATAATATTTATAGTTCTTCATCTGATTCTTAGTTTGAAAATGAAGTAACAAACGCACAATCAGGTTTCACCTATTACCTATACAGATTCCTAGAGTAATTGTTCGGGAAATTAACCACTCCTGATTTTTTTTCATCATTTGGTATCATCATCAGATCGATAGGCGGAGAATCACCAATAATGCACCGACACCCCTTGCCCGGCATAGTACCATGGAAAAGTCACGCATTGGGTAATAGATGGCATGCCGGCGCGGCGGCCAACGTGTTAAAAACAAAGTCTCATAATAATTAACAAAAAGATAGACGAGTAATTTTGAGGTATTTTAATTGAAAGGTACCTACTGTAATACATAGTAGCAAAATAAAAATGTTTTCATTATAGGCTGAACCGTTATCTCAGCACCTGTTTTCTCTGGAGACTAAAAGATGGCGACCGCTAAGAACAAAATTGTCACCAATATTTACCAGTGGCAAATTGAAAGACATGTTTTCTTTGATTCTCGAATGCTCTGTTAATTTTGAGAAATACTTGGACACATTAGTAGCAGAAGGAAAGCCCATCGACTGCCGTGAATTAACAGCTCGATTCACGACTGATGTGATTGGTAGCTGCTCGTTTGGAATTGATGCAAACGCCATGTCGCAAAAGGAATCAAAGTTCCGTGAAATAGGAAGACAGATTTTCTATCCTGGCTGGAAGCAGATATTTAGGATGAGACTTAGAGAGTCTCTTCCGAAATTGTACACTCTTATAGGTTACATATTACCGCATGACGAAATGACTAAATTCTTCACAGAAATTGTATTAGATACGATTGAGTATAGGAAGAAGAACAATATTGTCAGACATGATTTTATCAATAAGCTGATGGAACTTCAAGCGCATTCTGAGAAACTAGGCGATATTGGTACGTGTAGGATATTTATATTTCAACGTGACAACACATTTATATATATTATCTAATTACTTTAACACGTTCCGGTCCACTTAAGTAAGCGTCTGCGAAGTTAGTACCTTATTTTCAAAAAACAAAACTTTTAGCAACAGTTCTATTTGTACCCGCAATAGTTTTACAGTTCCTGATAGGTTTCAGAAATAGTTCCGGCGAAATATCTAAAAAAATAGCATTTTAAAAATATGAGGTGCCAACTTTGCGTGGCATCATGCGAAAAATGTTATTTAAATCATCGTATTTTATAGTTTTCAAATAGTTCTATAGTTCTTGATAGGTTATAGCAATAGTTCCGACTGCGAAATATTATAAAAACAATGTCTAATCTCGAAACTGGCACCTCAAATTTCCATTAAAATGGCCAGAACTTTGGATTTTTCAAAAAATTTCATTTTTGGACTTGGGAACTAGAAACTTAAAGTAACCAGAACTTTTTTGTTTTTGAAAGTGATCCGTATTTTTCGGAACGTGGGGTTATAAAATGCTTTTTACTGCATTAAAGTATGTTGTTTAATTTGATAGTTATCCATTTTTAAATAAATAAGTACTTTTTGTTAAAATAAATATAAAAGGGGGTATAGTGTCGAATGGCTGATATTAACCTTTAGTAGATTACTACACATTAGCTAGGGAAATTTCATTCATATTATAATAAAAATAACCGGTATATGCACTTGCCCCGTTTGCGAACTTACCCCACGCAAGGGTAAGTTCAACCCCTGCGTGGGGTAAGTTCAACGGTATGATTTTTATTTGTGATCGAATCCATTTTGACCAAATAGACTAAAAATAAAAATATTGAATTATGTGTTATTCCTACAACATTTGAAATCTTAACATTTTGTCCTATTGGTTTGTGTAAGAAAATGACATTTTGCAAGCTAAACGAATAAAGAATGCGAAACAAGCTTACAATTTATTTAAAAAAATGGAATTTTGTAGAAATGTAGTTCAAGTGACATTAGTAATGAAACCGTATTTTTTAATTTCGACAATGATCATACAAGTAAAAATTATGTTTTGGTAGTACCACGAATTTTTTTTGAAATCGTATAATATGTATATGAAAACAGAGTTGAATTCATAATTGCACACATTGATGGAGCGTTCAATCATCGGTACGCTGCATTTTGCTGGTTTCTAAATCATTCTTTTAATTTCTTCCTATCTATTGTTGAACACCCAGTATATGGAAGTACATTGCATTAATATACTTTTAATTATTAAAGTCTAAAACGACATATTTATATTCTTTTACAGAATTAACGGACACATTGTTAGCCGCGCAAGCATTTGTATTTTTCGCTGCTGGATTCGAAACTTCCGCAGCAACGATAGCCAATGCTCTTTATGAATTGGCTTTAAATCAAAAACTACAAATTAAGGTAAGAGAAGAAATTAGAGAACATTACGCGTTGAACAATGGAGAATGGCCATACGAGAACATTAATGATATGCCGCTTTTGGACGCAGTATTTAAAGGTACGTTATATGTGAACCGAATGCAAATATATAATTTTGTCTTATATATAACGGTTGAAATAAAACATGGCCATCTGAGCAATCACGTTGCGATAAAATACCATCCTCTACATCATGAGGCACTTCCCGCAATAATAGGTATTTTAGTACATGCTACTCGAATCAAGACGTCTCCACTGAAAATCGGTAAATTTTTAAACGTTATATCTTGAAAACTAATTAAAATCGGGTGTAATACATTCAAGCTTAATAAATTCGTCTTGGAAGACACTATCACATAATCTGAAAAACAAAATACATAGTTCCGTTTAAGAAATAAAACTTGACCACCATATCTTTTAAACTAATAATGTAAAAAAATTTTGTTCACGCCAAAACATAAATCCCATTTTACCGTACAATTTCTATATAAACAATTTTTCGTGTCATTAATAGTTGTGGAATAACGCGACTGTCACACTTAAACGCGGACACCCTGTATGTGGAGCCTCCTTTCCTACAGGGTGTCCCAGAACTAGATCGTATCCCCTGGAGCAGGGCTCGGAATTAACTGCTCTATAGCCAACACTCTCGCGATTTAGTCTACGTTCTACGTTCGCTCTAATTGGATAGTGTTTCTCGTTAATAATTCAAAAACGAAGCCTTAACCAACATTTTGGCAAAGGATAACATTGTTCAGAATCACCTCCGCAATCATCTCTTCAGGAGATTTGACCTAGTTTTGGGTCACTCTGTATATCGTTATTCTCGTTGGAAACGCTATTTCGTCATTCTTGATTTTCGTCTTATTTTGATCCCTAGAATCACCAAAAAATCTCCCACCTGTTGTCGAACACCCTGTATAATAATGTGCCGTTGGTCTTTGGAGAATCTACGGAAAATCTAAGAAGAGTATATTATAGAATCTAGACCAGACTTGGAAATTAACTCCACTTTTCGGCCGATTTTCAGAAATTACGGCCCCTTTCTCCAGTCATGCCTCTTGATTTCTGCAACGATCATAGTTCTCAAGACACTTCAGGTGTGTGTCATATCAATCGCGCGTGGCGCAAAAGGACTACACTCGTATCAATACGTTTCCACATCACCCATGGAGTGCGATTCATATACAGGGTGATTCTCTCGCAACGCAACACAAAAGCCGTCCCGCACAATGGAACCCTGTTGTTTTTGCCGGTAAAGAGACCCAGGGGCCATATCGCCGGACCCAAAACTGCTTTGTGTGTGTTTATGGCTGAGACGAAGATCAGAAACGGAACAGCAGGGGTTCCATTTTGCGGCACGGCTTTTGTGTTGCGTTGCGAGAGAATCACCCTGTAGCACGCGCCTGAGGTGTCTCGAGGACTACGGTTGTCGCACGGACCGAGACGCGCGACATGAGAAAGGGGACGTACCTTCTGAAAATCCTTCAAAAAAGCAGTTAATTCTCAAGTCTGATCTAGAAAAAAGTGGCGTGAGTGGTAAGATATCTCTTCCTCTACAGGAAGCCTATGTTACACGCAACTGTACACCTTATCTTTTTCATAGTCACAAATAAAATAATCCAACGACGTCATAATAATCATACCATCTTGGAAGTTTATTAATATCGTTGTTCGATTAAAACTTTAATCATGATAAAATGATTATTTCACCGATTGTACGACATAGGACACTGTTTTCTTGGAAACAGATATCATCGTATTCTTATTTGCTAGCCCCGTGATATGTAATATATATGTAGCATTTATTTTTTATTCACCTGTGGGTTACAAGAATTTTCGATTACATATAACTTCTACAACGCATCTTACACTAATTTATAATTCACTCCTTATTATTAAAGGATTAATGTTGTTATTATTTTTTAAACATAATTTCTTACACTATAATATTACTTTCTCTATAATTACACATTTCATAACTACACCACTCAAATTATACTAATCAGCGCCGGATTAAGGGGAGGACTGAAGAACGTTACAACCCGGGCCCCCATTTTGTAGCGAACCCCGTTATAAGCCTTCCATTTACTGTGTCAAAAAATATTCAATTAAATTTTGTCTACTGTTACTTCTTTTTCTGTACAATTAAACGTTATTTAATTTTATTTAAAATAAATTTCAATTTTTGAACCAAGTTGATTAACCAAGGGGCTTCTCTCTATAAGGCCTCTTTTGAGAGTCTCGAGGCCTCAAAAAACATAATCCGGTCTTAATACTAGTAATAAAGCTTGTATTATTTGCCAAAAACTGTAATTAATTATGGATAACGGTTGTCAAACATAATTATAATAAAAAGTGTTCGACATTTGAGAAATATCGTATTTATAAATAAAATATTCATTTAGTTATTATTTTTTTGCAAATTTTTTGCTTTCTAGAAACATTAAGGAAGTACCCACCAATCACGATTATAATGAGAAAGGCAGAAGAAAATTACACTTTTGAAGATCTAAAACTTACAATACCAAAGGGCACAAGGATTTTCATCCCTTCATATGCAATGCAGCATGACCCTGAAATTTATCCTGATCCTGAAGTTTTTGATATTAATCGATTCACCGCTGATGCAGTAGCGAAAAGGCATCCCATGCACTACATACCTTTTGGTGATGGTCCCAGAAACTGTATCGGTACGTAGATAAATTGTAATATTTTGATGAAATTTTAATGAAATCTCCTCCAATTTTTAAGTTTACAAAATTTATATTTATTGACCCTTAGATAGCTAACCATTAAAATAGCAGTTTAATTTTAATATAAGTTTAATTTTAAACTCCATTTATTTTTATTTCCTAAGCTTCAGATTATTTCTTTAGATATTATCTTTTCAACGTATAAAACTCCTGATATACTGTTCGTAGATCTAGAGCACGATTGACTCAACATTCGCTGTTCGATGGTTAAAAATAGCCAAAAATTATTTTTAAATCGCTGACAAGTAAAAGCTTTTGACTTAGGAAATTTTTGAATTGAATTGTTCATGATACAAACATATCAAAAAAATTAATAATACAAAAATTGAAAATTGAAATTGTAACTGAAAATTTTAAGCACTAAAAACTAAAAATTTGAAATTGTAGATATTCAGTATATAGAATATTTGGTTATAGATTAAAAACTTGAAGTTTTTAATTCAATCTGTAAATATAAATATGTAGAAAAAGAAAAAGAAGAATTTTATATTTCTGAATAATTGTTTGAATAATAATTTATTTCTTTTATATAAGCAAATAGCAACATCTGACAATATTTTTATTTTTTATTATAAAATATATAACCTCTGTACATTCTAATACAAATAGACATTAAATCATCTTTATTATTTCTAAATACACGCACTGTTACATATTTTTATTGTATTATTTTGTTTCTCATTAAATCTTACTATTTTTTTTTTGCAGGTGCACGTTTTGCACTCTTCCAAACAAAAATTGGATTAATAAAGGTTCTTCTTAAATACAAAGTCGACACTTGTGAAGAAACCCGACCGTATGAGATTGAACCACGTTCTTTCTTATTAGCACCAAAAAATACAATTACATTAAAAATGTCTAAACTAACTGTACTAGCGTAACTGTACTTATAAAATTATTCCAATTTTAGGATTAACTTACTTATCGTAACCAAGCGTAGAAAGTATTTTTGTAAGAATAATCAGCGAATAATTGTTTTTTGTAAACAAATAATACGTGCATAGGTACTTTTTCATTTGTTTTATTTAAAAATATTGATATAATTAATTTAATAACCTATAACCTATAAAGTTAATGCAACTTTAAAAATTAAATTTAAATAAGTATCTACAGAGTGTACATTTTATACAGTCGTAAGTTTTATTTATTTATATGTATATTAATAAAATATATATAAGAATACTAACCTGAAGTTAGACGTATAATTTTTAACCAAAAGGAAAAATATTGTTTGAAGAAGCATAAATAAAATTTTGAAAATAAAAATAATGTAAAATACTAAATTAAATTAAAAATATTCATGGTCCGTCTCCAGAGCAGAAACGTCAGGTAACTTCTTCCCAAATATAGAATTTCACTTCTCTCCATCTTTTTAATAAATGAAAAACTTAATTTATACCTGTACACGTCATGGCCACAAAAAAAGGGTAAGAAACTGTACTATTTTTTCTTCATGAACGCAAATGTTTGTACAGACGTCAAAAGGTTGTGTACGCATGAGAGAAACGCGCGAATTTTGAATATTGATAACTTACAAATATTTCAGTTTTATTGGTGAACTTGTAGAAAAGCTACCCCCACTCAAATTTCGATGATTTGTAAATATGTTGTAAAATTTGTCATTTGTAGCAATTTGTTTCATTTAAGCTATATGTCGGATTCGATTATTTTGCGAGGTATTTGCGAAAGAATATTGTTACTACTACTACAGCGAATTCTGCCTGACATATGCGCCCGTGGCCGTGTGTGAACCGGCTCGCTTGCCTACCGTTTCTGTAAGCAGCACCCTATCCAGGTCCAGCTACTATTCATTCAATGAATACTATTCATTGAATTTCACCTGTACGTACATACTGGGTACAACTCGCCACCGCGAAGATGGTCACGCGATTAGTGCGGGCCCCAACCTCGCTATGGGATACAAAGGAACTGGCGACAATGAATCCCTTGACTGCACCATGAAGACACACAGAGTCGTTTCAGCCCGGGTAGGTTCCCGCTGGTACGTGACAGTACGGACCTCTTTATGGTGCAGTCAAGAGGTCCATTGTCGCCAGTGTTCCTTTGTGTCCCCTAGCGAGAGGATCACCCGGTATACGTCTGCGGCTATGTGTGCGTCGGCAATCGACCCTCGCTTATCTACTGTTTCTATCAACAGTAACACATGGCCTGGCTACCGTCCATATAACGGGTCAGCTAAAATTCAAAATTAACTACTAATTTCAATACGTTTGACATTGGACTTACGTGGCCGGCCGCCTTTAGATGGCCGGAATATTAATGTGATCTGACCTAATCTAATGTAGACATATAAGTAACGAGAAAAAAATTATATTCGGTAATTATTGAGATTAGGTTACACCTCACTGATTTTGATGAAATTTAAATATATTGTAAAACTCAACATTTTGAACAACTTTTTCCTATACATATAACCGCCGCTCGGCCTTAGTTTTCGAGATACTTTCGAAAAACTGTCGAAACTAGCGCATTGAATTCTGGCCATCCGTGTGCGTCCGTGACAACGTATGCATTAGTATGGGATCGCCGCTTTTCTACTGTTTCTGCAGGCAACAGCACGACGACCGATGACCAATATATACCTTGTGTACTTCTGCATTCATGATTTCAATGTATCGTAGCTATGATGGCAGCTGGGAATTTAATATAGCTTAACCTAACCCAATCTACTCTAACTAATCAATGAATTAAGTTAGGTTAGGGTAAAGTGATATTCTGGTCGCCTGACGGCGACCAGACACACATATTGAGATTCAAAATCATGAAAATTAGTTAAATTTAATTTTTAAGCCCATTCGTAATATATGTATATACATTGATGTCGGTCGCCGTGCTGCTGCCTGCAAAAACAGTAAAAAAGCGGCAATCCCATACTAATGCGTACGTTGTCACGGACACACACGGATGGCCAGAATTCAATGTGTTAGTTTGAACAGTTTTTCGAAAATATCTCGAAAACTAAGGCCGAGCGGCAGTTATATGTATAAGAAAAAGTTGTTTAAAATGTCTAATTTTACAACATATTTAAGTTTCATCAAAATCTGTGAGGTGTAACCTAATCTCAATAATTACCTTATATTCCGTCAACATTGGTATTAATCATTGTACGCTGAGTTGCGTTGATTCTGTCGCGGCGTGTGACACTAACACGTATTCACGCCGGAGAGCCGATTGGCCAGGGGTACGCGAAGCAGGGACTGCAGCCAATCGACTGGCGCCATAAATATGTGTGAGAGTCACACGCCGCGACAGAATTAACGCAACTCATCGTCAATGTGCACCTCAAGATTGTCTGTCGTCCGTACTAATGTTGACAGTATTTTATTTTTTTTTGTTATTTATACGTCTAGGTTAGGTTAGGTTAGGTGTAGGGGAGGGTGGGTGGCCTTTTGGGGTGGAAGGGGTTGTGGTGTACCCTGCCGCCTCGGACGAAAGGAGCCCGGACCCCGGTCGGACGGGTGGTGAACTCGTTCTCAATCGGGGGCCCTTCTCCGTCCGCCCCTGAGTGACTCCGGGAGGAGTGTGGTAATCCCTCCCACGTGGGGAGTAGCGCTGGCCTCCCCTCGGAGGGGGAGGGGTGCAGCGGGGCCGAGGGAGTCCCCCTGGAGGGTGGCCGGCCACGGCTCATCGCAGCCCACAGGGGAACGACTTGGCGGGCTGCAGGCGCCCTGCCAGGGCGCCATTGCACGCGGACCCGTGGTGCAGCCGGCACCGGAACCCGGCGGAGCGGTGACAAGCGCTCGGTCTTCCTTGCGAGCGAGCGGGGGGTTGCTCCTCCCAGAAGCCTGTGAGGAGATTGAGGCGCGGGGACTGCTGGCGGTACGGGCTGGGGGGCCCGGCCTCTATTGCACGCAGTCCCTCGCGATGAAAACTGACTCCGCCCGGTGAAGGGCGTTTTTAGCGTGCGGCGGGGGAGGTTCCGGAGTTATATCACTCAGATCCCGGAGCCTCCCCTGAATGCCAGAGGAGGGCGCCGTGGGGTTTTAGTCAGTAGGAATCTGACATTCCCCTGCCGCCCTCCCCCAGGGGACGGTGGTCTTATGTAAGATTTCTCCACGATAAAAAAAAGGTGTAGGGGGAGGGTCAAAGGTTAGACCCTCCCCCGAGATGGGGCCATGGATGGGAGGGTCCCGGCGTGTTCGTCAGAGGTCCAGGAACCCTCCCTATAGCCCCAGTGCAGGTCATCGTGGAGGTTTTAGTGGGTAAAAATCCCACACTACTTCCGGCTCCTCTCCAGTGGGGCTGGAGGTGTCTTTTCGAAGATTGGCTGTAGTTCCGAATAGCCCCGGTGGCTGATCGACATGGGCTTTGGAGGGGGGAGAGGGGGGAGGGAGAAAACCCCAAATATCAAACGGTATCCACATCAGACCAGTAGTTCCGGAGATATTAATGAAAAACTTTCGCAGAATACATAGAATTTTGCCTATACAGACATGACTAACACAACCATCCCCGCTGTAGAAACCGTGGTCGTCAAGCGTCAAGCAGTCGATGGCACAGTACGGGGTCTCGACCTGGGTATCTACAGGGTGTCGTATATATATAAAGCGCATTATTTTGTAAACTGTGGTTCACGTTTACATTAATCTCGTCGTTTTACTCGTTTTGATATGCTGAATACGAATATGATTTTTGTTTTTAATGGAAATAACAAGCTGTCGAAATATTCGCAAACAACTTTACACAGAATTTTACCCAATAATGTAAGGCATATGTAAGGCGAATTTGCCAGTTATACATATATGAACAGAAGGTAACACTTTGTTCGTCTACGAATATCAAACCGTAGTAGGTTAGGTTAGGTTAGGTTATATTCTCCGTGGCGGGGGTGCCGGGGAGGGGCAAAGCCTAAAACAAGAATAATTACTTTAAATACAATGGTACAATGATCACAACTGAATGAGACACCCTATAGATAGTCGAAGCTCCCTACTGTGTCATCGGCTACTTGACACTCGACGACCACGATTTCTACAGCGGGGATGGTTGTGTTAGTCATGTCTGTATAGGCAGAATTCTATGTATTCTGCGAAAGTTTTTAATTAATATCTCCGAAACTACTGGTCTGATGTGGATACCGTTTGATATTTGACCCCCTCCGCCGGGGCTATTCGGAACTATACCCCGAAGATTTCCTCCACGTAAAAAAAAGGGTTAGGTTAGGTGATATTAATATTCGACCGCGCGAGTCGAATGTTATAATTTGATTTTTCAGTTCACCCGTTGTATGAATAGGAAAGACCAGAAACAGTAGGCAAGAGAGCCGGCGCACACACGACCGCGGGCGCATATGTATAGGCAGAATTCGCTGTAGTAGTAACAATATGCTTTCATGAATATCTCGCAAACTAATCAAGTCCAACATATAGCTTATTGGGAAAAAGTTGCTTAAAATATCAAAGTTTACAACATATTTAAAAATCATTGAAATCGAAAGGGGAGTAGCTTTTCTACAAGTTCGCCAAAAATATTATAGTGAAAGATTCTTCTTATTGATTTTGGCATGGCAAATCTGCAATTTTCATGATTACAATCTTTTTAAAATACTCTGTATATTTTCTATGAGAATTAAAAGATATCTGTTGGTTTGTTGAATAAATTTGCTGTTACATAATTACTTCAAAGTGTTAATATTGTATTATATTATAATTAAATAAATTTATTATATATGTCACTAAACTTAACACATACTTAAGAAATTTACCACATTTAATAAAAAACTAAAGTGTGTATTTAAGTGGAATTGTACACTATTTTGTTTACAATATGTCTGCAAAAGTCACTCTTAAGTTGTCAGTTACAGTGGACTATCACTATACTGCCAAAAGTTTTTCGCCCCTACCACTCTGTTTGCGGCAATATAACGAGAATCTACTGTATTACTAATTAAAAAGAAAAAAAACAGCACGCTTTCAAAAAGCTTTTACTATATACTTTAACAGTGTACTTTAAAGCCCCGTAAGTATCTTTACGATATTATCATTTATTGAAGTAAGTACCTATATTGTTGTCTTTCTACGTTAAAATAATCTCGTCATTAAGTACCACTGGGCTCGACGTTGGTAAATACTGTATAAAAAGAAAGGTGATAGTATCTAACTAATTTTTGGCATGAATATACCGAATACTGTCTGTTCACATTAGAAAATGTCTTCGCCATTTTGCGTAAACCTTTCCACATGACGTTTTATAACGTAAATTTCTTTAGATTCTAAAAATTATATTATTGTTTGCAGTAAGATCGGCGAACTACGAGTAGAACGTCAACACAGACGTGTGGTTTCCACGTATTAAAAGAGTCGGTGGCATGTCTTTAGTTAGAGCTTCCAGCCATGCCATGTAAAGCGGAGCTGATACTGCACCCTTTCGTGGCATTGGTAGTGACCTGTAATTTAAAAATTCATGATGTTTGTTTTTTAAATTGTTATTTCACTACTATCAAGCTTAAATAAATTAAAAATCAACAGAAGCTATGGAAAAACTGAGAAACTCCGGACGATTCTTGACTCTCATGTACAGAAAGATAAGGACAGCGCGATTAGTTATATAGCCATGCTGTCATAAAACAGCTCTAATTTAGCGATGACGCAGTTCAAAGATTTTGAAGTGAAATAACAATATTTTCCTACGATTCATTTTTAGAAATATTCTTTGTACAATTGTACAGCGGTGTACAGAGCCCGATTTTGCAATTTGGACTTTTAAACCTTATACAAAGCATGTTTTTAGAGAAGAAACTTTTGTATAGTTTTCCCAAAAGTGTTTTGTACTACGTTCGGTATATTTCTCTTAAATATCATTATCATAATTATTACGCGTCTTTCTCAGAATTTTGTCCGAAAAAAGTGAATTACTTTTTCGTGTTTCACTGCTATTTCGATAGAGGTGCTAGTCAGTGCCGGTTTTAGCAATATTGGCGCCCTGGGCAAGATTATCGTGGCGCGCATTAAAATATATGTATATAGGTAAAAAACGCGTCAGGGAAGATGTAGACATAAATGTCGCAGCATACATAGCATATATGTATTATACATATATGAGATGTAGATAGAGAGAAGAGACAATGAAAAAATATCGATATATTCGCATACTAGGAACACCGGGCTGCGGCGCCCCCTAGAGATCTAGCGCCCTGGACGATTATCGGGGAGACCCCCCCCCCAACGCCGGCACTGGTGCTAGTGTCACCCCTGTTGACCCTAAAATAAGTTTTAACTTTCCTTATAAAAAACAAATTTATCTTTTTTTAATTTTCTCTTTGAAATTCTACAGATACTTTTTTTGTAGAAGAGTTTTGTGAGATAAACATTAGTAAATATTATAGAAATAGAAGATTATAAAAGTATCATAGAAAAAGAAATAATTAAAATAGCACTAATTGTTTACATAAATATAAATACATACATTACAACCAATGTAGACTGACTGGAGTTTTCTAGTAATAGTTCTCTCAATCTCAACTGTCTGTGTGTTTTGTCTTTTAACGTTTGAAGTTCAAGATCCGTCACACAGCAATCTATAATAAAAAGTTAAGCATCAATATAACAAATTTATATTGAAACTTACTTAAAACTAATTATTAGTTAATAGTTTTGAGCTTGAAATTAAAAAATGTGTTTTATTATTTTACCTGTATCAGCAGAATCGTTTTTTCGGAAATCAGATATAAGTTTATCAAATAAATCTTGTGTTTCCTGCTTTGGTTGAACACTGATATCATCTACCATTTTTAAGCTGGTATATTTTATTCTGAATTTCGCCATTATCTCGGCCATCCTAGAAATTACAAAAATAATTATCTACAGTAAAATTGTGTTGATATTTTAAATTTTACTATTGGGAATTGCAAATTTGAAAATAGAACGATCAAACATAATACATTGGCGTAACTGGTTAGAAATCCAGGTGCCTCACCCCCCAAAAAACTATGGAATATGCCTTCACCATTTAAAAATTGTAAGATACCAAAGATCTGAAATTCTAAAATACTAAAGTCCTAAAATTCGAAAATTCTAAGGGTAGGTGTTCATATGAATGAGAGAAGCTATCGATAACAAGTGGACGCTGTGCTAAGTTATTTTCAGCCGGTTATTAGTCACTTTCCATAGTATTGCTTACAAATGGATGCCGTGCTATATAACTAACTACAAATTAATCAGTTGGGAGTAACTTTTCGTGTCTCTTTGCAACAAATACTATTGACAGCTTCTCACGCGAATTTTACTCCCAAGTATAGTGCACCGATGACAAGATGTCCCATGAGACAAATGCAAATGCGTGCTTCTCATGGGACATCTTGTCATCGGTGCACAGTACATATCTATCTTAAAATACTTGAAGACCTTGATTTAAAATAAAAAATTTTGTTTAATAATGTTTGTTTAACCCTGAACAGCAGAGTCTAGGTCAATCGAGTTCCAAACTTACAAATCATATACAAGGATATAAAACTAAAGTTAAATGTATAATTTTTAAACAACAACATTTTATATATTGGACGAATAATTTTCAAAGAAACAGTATAAAATTTAGAAGATAAAGATAATATGAAATACAAAATTCAATTGAAATTAGGGATTTCTCCATGGTCCGCCATCCGAGAATTAATACTTACTCTTTTTCTTGTGCCACAATGTCCTGTTTATGATTCGCCAGTGCGAAGATTCTCATTTTACAATGCTCCCAGTTTGAACGTGTACTGATAATATATGGTAAAAGAATCGTCAAACCTGTCGAATACAAATTTCTGCCACTTACAAATGAGCCTATATTCTTGAATAATTAAAGTGCAAACAATTGGGATATTAAATGTAAATGTTTGAAAATAAAACAATAAAAATTTATATAATATAACATTTCAATGTTTAAAAGTATCTTTCTTTGCAAATAATATTATTAGACTGTGCATATTTATGCAAATATATTTTCTTCTAAAAATGTGTTGAAAAGTGTTATTGCATGATGCAAATTTTATACACTTTTTACCTTCGGAATATTTTATTTTACTTTTTTATATTTAGCTTACATTTAACATGTATTTTTAATATTTCAAATAGTCTACGCGTATAATATTATTTGCATTACTGATGATATTTTAAAGTTAGATACCTGACTTTAATTTTTAAATATTAGAAAAAAAGTTGGTCAGTATCAAGTTATGATTATTTATTTGAAATTCATATTGAAATCTATGACAAATGCTTTTTGTTTAATAACATAATTAATAAAAAATCAGCCTAATAAAAAATGATTTACAATTATTAATATTTAAAATGAAGTGAAGTTTCTTGATTAAGTACCATCAGTTTTGATTGATAAGCATCCCAATTATTCGCAGACGATTGTAAATATTTTATGAATTACCTCCATCATCATATAACCACCATACGTCAATAGTACCAGTTTTATGTTTCTTCTGGAAAATAGCTAAACGTTCAGGAACAGCTGTCATTGCGTGTCGTTTTTCCCTATAAAAGCAAAATATATTTAAATATGTTTGATTGAATATTAGTACATATGTAAATGTAATCATAATTATTGAAGAAGTTAAATGTATCATTATATAATTATTAAGAGAATAATACGTTTAAAAAAGAGGAATAGGAGTTAAAAGAAGAAGTATTTTAACAATAGATTACGTACATTTCTTATGTAACTATCTCTACGACAAGCATCAAATTGACGCGTGGACGAAACCGCATACTGTCTTTAAAAAACAACTTATTTTCTTTGAAAATAAAATATTATACACTATCAACTTATAATTAAAACTATGTAATATTATATATTTATCTAAAATTTATAATATTTAACGGCAAGACGCAGGATAATATCATAAACAGTTGCGTCGAGTCAACAAATTCAGATTTGAGATATTGGTTTTGAAGTATCTCCGTTGCATTGTTTGTGTTTACTTTTGACGTTTTTTTTAATGAATTTTTTTATTACATTTATATTTATTACTGATATAATGCTTTCATAAGTAAAGCCGATTTACAAGAATTAATATCTCAATTTACCATCGCGTCAAATTGTCGAGTATCCGTAGAAACAGGTATACTACATAAAGATTTTCGAGATTAGAAGTCCCAGAAGAAACAGAATCTGGATACACAGGGTGTTCGATAATTGCTGGTACAAGTGAAAAAAGGGTGATCCTACATGGAAAAATAAGTCGAAAATATAGAATAAAATTTTTTCATATGAGGCTTTGTTTTCGCAAAAATCGACTTTTAATTTTCACCGGGTACGTGTGCATTTGATCATGTCTCGTTATAACGGATCTCAGTGTAGTTCGTTGCCTCGATTGAAGTTTCTGTTGATCAACACATCCAAGGTCACGGAAATGTTAATCTTACCTATTACCTTACTATCCTATCTTTATCGCTATACACTATATGTAGAAATTAGGCGCGTTCGTCTTTCAAAAATTTTCAAAATTGACTTGACGACATATGGCACTCAATGCCCTTTAGGGTGTTGGTTATGATGCAAAAAAGAAATTTCGAAAATTTTAATTTCCTGTGTCTCCAGAATTCGATTGAAAATTCGAAAAACTGCTAGAATAGGCAACCCGCACGACAGGTCTTTTCCATGCAAACTCGAAACGTGAGGTAAGCCCAGGTGACTGTTTTTGGTCATTTAGAAGTGTACTCCGGTGATGGAAAGGGTTGACACATACGCAACAGCGCTCCCGGAATAGCCAAAATTGCACACATTTAAGGGATTTTGGGTGGTACAGTAAAGACCTGTCGTGCGGGTTGCCTATTCTTACGGTTTTTCAAATTTTCAATCGAATTCTGGAGACACAGGGAACTAAAATTTTCGAAATTTCTTTTTGCATCATAACCAGCACTCTAAAGCCGAGTATCCACCTGTATCAAACGCCCGTATCGTATCACCGTTCCGAACCCTTTTGAATAGGCAGACGTTGCCTCGTTGCATGCCACGGCGTGCTACGGCTCGGACAATATTTCTTCGTTTCTTGAAAGAAACTCCTATAGGCGAGAAGTTTCGATTTCCTGCATGCTGTTTCTTTATTGTAATTGTCCTAACCATATCGTGTTTGGTATCATTTTAATCAGAAAAACGTCACAAATATCTTGGTAAAAGTTTTATAAGAAAAAAATGAAAAATAACAAAGTTCAGTCATTGCATTTGTATTATCTCACTGATATATCCGATTCCAGATCATATTATCTCGAGCCTCAAGTGTCATGTTTCCACTTGACATAGCATTTCGGGCCTTCGCCTGGGTATGTTGTTTTTACGTTTCAAGTGGTCTCCGAACCTATCCTTTGAACAGCAAGAAACCGACAATTTTCGGATCGGCCCGTTCCTTCACCTCCGTATCACAGCCCAATAGAACTTTCGATACTCGGCAACGGAAAAATCTCTGGAAAATTAACATTGTCCTTTTTCAATAATCACAGAGGTTCTTATTAACATTGCTCTTTTATGTACAGCGTATCACCGAAGATAATTGATCTGTTTAAATATATTTAGACGATAAAATTTGTCTAAATTAAATTAGATTAAATTCATAAATAATTTCATCGATTTTGAAATGAATCCAATAATACCGCAAGATTTCAAATAAATTGAAACCCAAGTGACGGTACGAAACGCTATGTCAAGTGCAAATGCATAAACCTTTCCTTCGATGCAACGGCAAAGAATCGACAAATTTTTCGGATGGGTCCGTTGCCTCCGTTCCTTTGGAACGGCACGCAGCAAAACGAAACTCCTCGCCTGTAGTGGCCCAGTCCTATTGCCGAACCGTTTCTATCAAGAAACGAAGAAATATTGTCCGAGCCGTAGCACGCCGTGGCATGCAACGAGGCAACGTCTGCCTATTCGAAAGGGTTCGGAACGGTGATACGATACGGACGTTTGATACAGGTGGATACTCGGCTTAAAAGGCATTGAATGCGATGTGTCGTCAAGTCAGTTTCGAAAATTTTTGACACGAACATTCCTAATGGATATGTCAAGTGCGCGCGTACCCAGCGAAAGAAGTCGATTTTCTCAAAAACGTAGCCTGAAACAATGACAAAATTTTATTCTATATTTTCAACTGATTTTTTAATGTAGAATCATCCCCTTTTCGCTTGTACCACCAGTTACCGAACACCCTGTATATTTGTTTCGTTAATTCGGGTGGGGGGGCTTCTATGTGTGCGAGACTTGTTCATAGATCTGTGATGGATACCCGGGGGCTTTTCCGAAAACCTGTCAAATCGGATTTGACTGAAATTTTGCAGATAATATTTACGAGAAAGATTTTTGGCGACTCAAAAGTTAAGATTTAAAAATGTTGCCGTTCGCCTTTTGGTGACCGTTTTAAACAGCTTTGAACCTAATTTAACTTATAAAATACGATATACAATATTCGGGATGTGGTTAAAGGTACAGGATGTCTCTTAACTTCTGTAACACCCGGAAAGGGGGGTTGCTGTGGTGAGTTTGAACAAGTTTTTTGTATTTGCTCGGTATTTGAATTATTAACGAAAAACACTGGTCAATCAGAGCGCGCGTAGAGCGCGGGCTGAACCACTGAAGTGTTGGATATGTTCTGCATTCGAACCGCGGTTGTGATCAAATGCATCGGCACCATGTTGGTACAATAGGACTCATTGGGCAAAAGTTGTATCAAATAATGAATAAAAAAAGAAAAGAATAATAGTATCGAATTATTAGTTGCTTATGAATAAAGTAATGAATCGTTATTCATATAGAATGAATAAATCGAATTGATCCAACACTTTTATTCGTTGTTTGATATGGATATTTATTGACTACAAAGTATTTTTTCAGTCCATATCAAACAACGAAAGAAAGTGTTGGATCAATTCGATTTATTCATTCTATATGAATAACGATTCATTACTTTATTCGTTGTTCATGAGCAACCAATAATTCGATACTATTATTCTTTTCTTTTTTTTTATTCATTATTCGATAAAACTTTTGCCCAACGAGTCCTATTATACTGATGTGGTGCCGATGCACTTGATCACGACCACGGTTCAAACGTAAAGCATACCCAACACTCTCGTGGTTCTGCCCGCGCTATACGCGCGCTCTGATTGGCCAGTGTTTTTCGTTAATAACTCGAAAACGAAGCCTTAACCAACATTTTGGCAAAGGAAAAAGTTGTTTAGAATGACCTCACCAATCATCCCTTCACGAGAATTCCCCTAATGATTTACCCTGTATTATGAAATGTAACTAATCTTAATCCTTACATTAATTTCTCGATCGTATGTTTCCGTTTGTGCTTCAGGTGTTCTCGAGCACTTCCGTGAGTTGGTGAATCCCTAATTATCTGTGGTCCATCGATAGACACGTATTGAGTGCCTGAAACATCTGATCAAAATTAACATTAATACTTTGCATTCAAATATACAGCAATGAGTGTCTCTGCTTTATGCTTCAAAATTGTACAACATCTCTGAACTCAATTGTACAAACTATATTTTGTCGAATATCTTAAAAATTACTTGTTGCAGAATAAAAATTTAAATCAACAATTGATATAATTGTGGCTGTAGTTCCGAATTGCCCCGGTGGCCGATCGATATGGGCTTTGGAGGGGGGAGAGGGGGGGAGGGAGAAAACCCCAAATATACAACGGAATCCACATCAGACCAGTAGTTCCGGAGATATTAACAAAAAACTTTCGCAGAATACATAGAATTTTGCCTATACAGACGTGACTAACACAACCATCCCCGCTGTAGAAACCGTAGTTGTCAAGCGTCAACCAGCCGATAACACAGTAGGGGTCTCGACCTGGGTATCTACAGAGTGTCCTATATGTATAAAGCGCATTATTTTGTACACTGTGGTTCACGTTTACATTAATCTCGTCGTTTTACTCGTTTTGATATGCTGAATACGAATATGATTTTTATTCTTAATGGAAATAACAAGCTGTCGAAATATTCGCATACAACTTTACACAGAATTTTACCCAATAATGTAAGGCATATGTAAGGCGAATTTGCCAGTTATACATATACGAACAGAAGGTGACACTTTGTTCGTCTACGAATATCAAATCGTAGTAGGTTAGGTTAGGTTATATTCTCCGTGGCGGGGGTGCCGGGGGAGGGGCTTTGCCCCTCCCCCGGCCTAAAACACAGGAATAATTACTTTAAAAAATTGAAATTATTTTATCTGAGGCACCCTATAGATACTCAGGTCGAGACCCCCTACTGTGTCATCAGCTACTTGACACTCGACGATTTCTACAGCGGGGATGGTTGGGTTAGTCATGTCTGTATAGGCAGAATTCTGTGTATTCCGCGAATGTTTTTAATTATCTCCGAAACTACTGGTCTGATGTGGATACCGTTTTGTATTTGGGGTACCTCCCCCCACAAGGGGCAATTCGGAACTATGTCCATAATTATAAATGACAAATTCATATATGTATATAAACAAGTTAAAAAAAAGTAATTTATTAAGATAACTACGCTACACTTGATAATTATTTGTTTATAATTTAATCATTTATTTTCACTGATATTATGATAAATCAATATTTGAGCTATTTATGAAACTCGTCACAAAAAATATAACCCGTAATTTAACCGTACCAGTAGTGAATTAACATTAAATACATACGTGTATTAAGGTGAAGCGAGAAATAAATTTTACCTGATAAAATTCTAATAGGGAGATATTGTTTCTTATTTTGTTATATTATATATTAGTTTTTTTTTTTTTAATCAGTTAATACTTTCTGTCTCCACGGCGGAAGATCTCGCAAGACACTTGTGGATGTATGAAAGAATGAGAGAAAGAGAGAGAGTAGAGGGAGAGACGTTAAAATTGCTCAACGGACTAGGGGTGAGAAAAGGACTGGAAGAGAAGATTGAAGAGATGTTACAGGATAGTCCAATCCACGAAGCATGTGAATATGGTAGAATTTACGGGAAGGAAATCTCCATATAGAAGATGCTTGGATACTGAGCTGATGGTTGCACGTTGTATTTTTATGTACTTAAGGATGTATAATTATATAAGGTTATTAGTACTAATAAGATTAAGTCTATGCTACGAATATTTGAATCCGAAAACATAACTAATGTATGGATGATGTATGAATAAATAAATAGTAATTTAATTTACTTTCTGTTTCTGCATTTTAATTAAAGATTTGATATTTTTTTCAGCTTTTGAGTTTTTTTTAATTTTCGGAGATTTAATAGTAATTAGTGAAATAATTTCGTCGTGCCAATTTTTTTCTGTATAAAATATATTTGTATAAATAAAATGATAAATACCCATTGTTGGTACACTCTGAACTCTTGGAATCTGACTAGACATGGACAAATTGCTATCGACATGCATCAGAGTATTTCCTGTTAAATCGTAGCTACTCTGTGCTAAAGTACCGTGTTCATCGTCGCCATTTGCGGTTGAGACTTCAGAGCAGTCTAAACCTTCTGCAATTCGCAACATCGCTACGGCCAATTTCTGGTCAAATGCATTACTGTAATCAATCGAAAATTTCATTATCAAAATTAAATAAGTATTTGCAATTTATTCAGTGTTTCACATTATGACCGCAGTAATTGTTATTTGGTACAATTCCCGTTCAATAATTCTCTGCTTCCGGGGCTCTATAGGCAAGTATTTCTATAGACTGGGAAATTATTCAGTGTCAATGGCATTTGTGCATTTTTCATAATTCATTGATTTTTTGGATATACATAGCTATGTATACCTCTATTGGTTATTCAAAAGAGGGAGTACGTAAGTTGTTGTTAAGAGGGAATTGTATGGCAGTAAATTATCGAGTGCTTAGTGTAATTGAAGTTGTGTTTATTATCCACTCTTCTGTTCTCAATTTTTCTGAGGTAGCAAATTGAAATTCTAAAAATGAACTGTTTGTAGATGTTTTCAATAATTAGAGCGATAATTAAAGATTCTCAAAATTATTTGAACTGATCCCCTAAGATAATTTAAAAAAAGATTCTCTGAAAAATCTTTGAAAATTCTCTCCGAAAATTGTTTAAGTGACAGCTGCAGAGATAAATTTATGCCCCCCCCCCCCCCCCCCCCCCCCCCCAATACACACACACACAAGGGGGCAAGCACTGAATTAGAATTTCAATATTTGTTATAACAAATAACTATTTTCACTGCAGTAATCGACCTATTAAATATAATCCTTTTAAAATAGATGATTGATTCCACTATGATTTTTATTCACTTACTGAAGAACATTGAAATATTCTTGAAGATCCTTGTGATTACAAGTGGACCAATGCGTTTTATATCCCATCAGAACTACGTTTGGTGCAAGCTTTCCGACACCAGTTGCTTGCATTAGAGCTGATGCACCTCGTTCGAAATTCAAATCCTCCACTACATGGTAAAACGATTTGATACGTTGTTGATGTAACCATGCATAGCCATTTCTTAATCGTACTGATCGTAAACGATAAGACAGACGAGTCTGAAGAAAAGATAATAACAAAATTATTAACAGCTGTGAAGAGAATTATATTCTAATTGGACTTATCTACACACTGTATTAGCGTAATTTTATTATTACAGATAATTTCACTAAACACGCTGGTTGCAACGATGATTACTGAGAACCAACATTACGAATTTAATTTGGTCAGATAATAATTAAAAAAACAGTTGTAAATATTACTACTGTAAAATTTTACTAATAATTTGAAATAACGAACTGAAGCATCATTTTAGAAAATTAGTTCATTCTTGGTATGACTTTACCTACTGTGTCAGTCAACGTGTTCATATATTGTAAATAAACATTGTAACGTGGTGTTACGAGTGCCCTCCCCCCATGAACATTTTAAGCTACCGCGCCTGTCCCCGCACCGCCGCGTCGCCTTTTTCCCTTAAGGGGGTAGACACGGGTAACAGTAGCGCGTTGACATTACCGGCAAAAATGGGCCTAAACAGGGGTTTACGGGATTCGAGTATTCGTCCTTATATAAGAAGATTTGGGGCTGGGTGAGGGCTTATTCGAAAGAGGAAGGTCCAGTGCAGTACGGTCAACTCATGTTTCAGTGGAATTATGTTGATGTTTAGTAATCCCCCCTCCCATACCAAATTCAAGATATAATCAGTCCCAATTGTGTAACACACCCTGTATGCTTTTATGAATGAAAAAACATTTATTTAAAGAAGCTAATAACTTTTTCTAAAATAATTCTCAGATTGCACGTTCCTTCGGTTCTTCAGAGTAGGCATATATTTTTCAGCAGCGAGGGGTGCTACGGTGCGCTATATAAAATCCACGCGTTCAGTCCGTCAGAATTTACCGGAGCGGGACAATTCTATCATTTACGTTGAAAGAAGAATAGCATGATCACCGTACATCTCACTCTAATACGCGCCAATGTTTCGCTTTCGTTCTTTAGATGTACCGTCGCGATGCCTCTGACGAGCGTTTGAATGTGTTTGTAAAAATATTTGAGGCGCTGTTGCCTTCCTAGATCGTGTTACGCGCACACTAGCTGAGAATTATACCTTTCAAGTTCGTAACAGACCACGCGTCAACGGCCTTAACCACTTAGACCAGGCCTGTCCAAGTAGGGGAAATTACTCCTAGAACACATGTTTTTGGTCCCCTTCCAACGCTGCTCCTTCAAGTAAGGTGGGACGGTTCTGACTACCGTCTCTCCGTCTTTCCTACCGTCTTTGGTATTCGGAACCTTCCCATCTTACTTGAAGGAGCAGCGTTGGAAGGGGACCTAAAACATGTGTTCCAGGAGTGGATTCCCCTACTTGGACAGGCCTGACTTAGACCATACCGGTACCCGTAATATCACCGAAGTCAAGCTAAGTGGGCACGGTTTCGCCAATAGATGGGTTACCGTGTGGTGTTGGCAACGATACACATACGTACACACGCACGCACACATACACGGAACACACACACAAACATATGGACTAAAAAGTATGGAGTATAGAAAAGTAAAAGTATGGAGTCATAAACTCACGTAAAATGTAAGACAAAGCAAAAATTCAAAAAATGCGCGGGGTTTGGGATTGGCAGTGCTGCCAACCCATCCCCATAGGCGCGTGGACGATAGGGTTCGTTGGACAACGAGGGGGCAGAAAAGCCCCCAAAAAGTGCCGGCCCTTTTGTGCAGGGCAAAATTAGTGATAGTGATAGTAACAGACCACGCAAGTGGCTCCACCAGGCCCAACGAAACAACTGCTGTAATACCGACGTCCCGACTCGGAGAGGTCACGTGCCGGGTCTACCCCCTTAACTCTACCCTTCCCCAACCACCGGTATTGGAGGAAAAGTGCCTGAGCGAAGACCGGAGCAACCGAGCTGCACAAGACAAGCAGGAGATCCCCCGTTTCCAAAGACCGGCGAAGACCCAGACCGAGCGAGTGTCACTGGAGAGAACGTCCTGCAACTAGCGGAACCAGGCCAAAAGAAGCTACAATACGTCTCCGTGGCGCCACCTCTACGCCAGGCTCAAAGGAACCTCACCAAGCAGCCCAACGCCGATAAGTCTCTGCATCAGCCCTTTATCGACCCCGATCATCGACCAATCCCTAATCGATAACGATCCATTAACCAATTAGCCTCTGACCCGACCTAACGGCCCAATCCCCCCCCCTCAAAATTCCGTACGACAGGCTCGCTGTCGCTGCGATAGCGACGAGCGAGCATTAGAAATTTGATAGCGAGCGTACAATTTTGATTTCCGATATTCCAGGCGTTTAGATATTGAGAGCGATTTAGAGTATTATAACGATTAGTACTGAGTGTGTGGGAGTGCACGTGTGTCCAGCAATGTTGGTGAGCCCTTATTATTATTACCTTATTGTAAATTCTGGGTACGTTAACAGATACCTTCCACACGATTCACCTCATTCCCTTTTCGAACCCCAAAGGTCCCCTGTTCCCCGTTCGATCCCTTTGATCGCGGTTACGCAAGAACTTCCTCGAGCCCTCTACCCCCGAGATTCCTTGTCCCTGCATTCCCTATCCTTGCGAACTCCCCCGCGAAGCCTGCGACGGCCGGCCACGGTCGAGTCGCGAGTCTCCCGTCTATTATGAGACCCCTAGCACTCCCGCATTTCCCCTTTTCATCCGATTGCTACGAAGTGGCTGACGCCCAACGAAGTATTGTCACCCATAATCGTATAGATCGTATAGAGTGCACCCACCAAGAGAGTCACAACATATTGTACAAGTATATCTGAGTTATTCGTTAACCACTTATTGTTATATGTAATAATCGCCGATTTCATGTTGTAATATTATCTTATAATTTTATCACAAGCTTTCTAGCAATTTATGCTTTTCGTTTAGTACCTTGGAAAATTAATATAGTATTAATGCTACTTAAAATTTTCTTTAACTTCGTCGTGCCCCGAGTGGTATTTATGATTGCCTAACAATTGCAAAATATAACTGACCGAGCAACCGATATCGCTCGCCTAAGGGATGCACAAATCAGCGATACGCACGCGAAAGCACATCGATTCAGGGAAATAACAAAATCAGGTCGATTCCTGAAGAGGAAGTGGACAACCCGATAGAAGGCCGCATCAAGCCAGGCCAAAATTCATTAAAACACTCATTTTAAATAAAGTTCTCTCTCGCTGTTCGCTCGAAGTCCGGCGAATACTAATTCTTCGACCATTCCCGAATCCTCAACCTCCCACAAGTAACTATAAACCTCGAGGAGCACAACAATTTCTTTTAGTTATTTAATTATGTTTTTGTACCTAATAGCTCCACAGCATTTAATGCGTTAATAACTTTCATTTAATTAAAAGTACACTAATCTGAATTCAATTGCTACATAATTATAGTATTATAGTTATTGTATAATAACTGTAAGAAATTGAGGTAATTCAAAATTCAGTTTCTTTAGTTTGAGTTGGAGATTTTAAAAGGTACAACGTGTCAAAAGAGTTACAAATATAGAATCATACGAAAGATTAGACTGGAGGCAAGTAAATGTGTTTATTTAATCTACATACCGGATACATTTCCCCGGAAATCAGTAGCGAGTAGTTTTTCGTGATGAGATTTGCCAGATGTAGTAACGCTGGCCTAGCTCCAGGTAATCCGCTTAGTGCCAAAATTTGAGGAGCATAATTTTTCACGTGTTCATCGATAGAATTCAATCTGTAACATTTAATTTCATTACGTGTGAGTACATTATAAGTAAAATAATATTATTTTATCTGAGGGGTGCTAAAATTTATCTGACTTAAAATTTTCTATTGAAATATGATCTTGTACATTTACAGAAAATTTGTTAATTGTATAGTAGTAAATAAAAATAAAAATATGCAAGACATTGGTTGATAATACATTTCAGCGGTATCAATAATCGCATTTATTGATTTATAACATCCATAATTGTTGAATGAATAAATAAATAATTTAAATTATCATATTTCTTGGTGTAAACAAATTTTTACATGTAGTTTGAAGAATATTCAAGCTTTATTTTCTTGACTTCATTGTCTTGAACAGAATATTTATTTTCTTAGGAGAAATCAGTCTTTTCCCGAGTGTTCCATAATTACTGAAATACCTCTATAATAGAATTGTATATAGGCTTGACTATTTAAATAGGATCCTTAATTGTACTATACACTTTAACCCTTCCCAATCCAATTTCATGTACATCAGATTTCTCACCAGATTCAATTTTTCAGAATATGCAAATAAAGTAATTGGACGTGATCCTATATCGCAGCGCAACAAAAATTTGCTATGTAGAAGGAGGTCCGATAGAGTATTGAAGGGAGTTAAAACACTTAAATATCTTTTTTATTTATGGTTTTCTGGAAAGGGTCCTCAGGAAAAATGATCTTAAAAAAAAAATAATCTCGGCTTTGTATGTGACCCTTGGAATGGTATAACTTTTGTCCTTTGTAACAGAAATATTTAGGTGTTCCTATTTAAATGATCCACCCGTATAATAATCTCACCTGTATACGATAGAAAGAGCAGTTTTGTAGGTTTGTGCCTGAGTGCTACTGCCCCAATTAACATCCGGTTTCCGATAAACGACTATCAGATACAGTGCGAAAATAATTACAAATGTAACCAGCGATGTCACCCAATCAATGAGGAACATTATGGACACACATGTAATAAAACCAGCTAGTGACAGCCAAGTGTTGTAATACTGTGAAAACATATTTAACCTTGATTAATTATTTGACAAATATGTATGAATTTGGTTTGGGTATTGTTTATTATCGTATTACTTACTCTGAAGGTAGGCCGCCATCCAAGGGGTCGAATAAATGCCGCGTGAAAAGTGCAGAAATTGATTAAGGCATAGGACGCGAGATAGAAGTTCGAGATCAGAGGTGCTACTGCATTCAAATTTGCTGAAAGTAGAAAATATTTAGTACAATTGATTATTTAAACGAAGTAAAATTGTTTGAAGAATATCATAAATAAACATCATTTAACCCTTAAACAGCAGAGACGCGATCAATCGTGATCCGAACTTAATAATTTTTAAGGGAACAATGTAAAATTTAGAAAATGGAAATAATATGAAATACAAAATTACGTTAAAATTGTGGCTCTCTTCATGATCCCCCGCTGAGGGTTAAAAATCTTGATTGATGAAATGTATTTATCGTATCATAGTGGGAAACTTATACAGTAAAACCTGGATAAATGCAACCGAGATTGGGACCCAGTGGTTGCATTTATCCAAGCGAGGTGTCAAATCTCGGGTTACACGCGACGTCGGCCAAGCGTGAACGTAGAAAGAGACAGACAGTGGGGAAAGAGAGAGAGGCCCAATGATCAAAGGAAAAAGCCGAAACGTATCGATGTGACTAATACTAATTCAACTATAAAACTTTTTTATTTCTGACTTTTTTTTAATGAAACTTTTATCAGCGGATTGGTGACATTTTTCTTATTAAAATGATACAAAACACGATATAGTTTGAATTATAATTACTTGCTAAAATTGATGTTAAAAGTTGGCGAAGAGCAAGAGAGTCGAAACCAAAACCAGCCGAGGTGTCGGCTCTGTGTTTTCAAAGGTTTTATTTATCCAGGCGAGGTGTCGATTCTGGGCATTTAAATGTTGCATTTACCCAAGCGAGGTGTCGATTCTGGGCATTTAAATGTTGCATTTATCCAAGCGAGGTGTCGATTCTGAGTCCGTACATATCTTTTGTATTCAGCCGACATGTCGACTCTGCGTCCGTACACATCATTTATATTCAGTCATGGTGTCAATTCTATGTTGTTTATTCTATTACTATTGCTTATAAATATAATTCAAACTATATCGTATTTGGTGTCGTTTTAATCAGAAAAATCTCACAAATACGTTAGTAAAAGTTTCATTAAGAAAAAGTTAAAAATAAAAAAGTTTTATCGTTCAATTAGTATTAGTCACACCGATATTACGGTCGGATCATATTACACGGTTTCCTTCGTCGAGCGGCTCGGTTCACCTAGGGGGATCCCCCCAAGTGGAGGGGATAGCGATGTTGCACTTATCCAAGCATTCTTTCGTTGCATTTATCCAAGTTCTACTGTATAATGAGTATGTACAGTAAAAGCTGGATATATGCAACATCGCTATCCCCTCCGCTTGGGGGGATCCCCCTAAGCCGAGCCGAGCCGCTCGGCGAGGAAACCGTGCAATATGATCCGACCGTAATATCGGTGTGACACCAAAGATACATCAAACACGCAACATGCAACATGCAACACGTCGCATGTTGTGTACGAACGTAGAATAGGTATCGCGGCACGGTACAAATGATTTGTATGGACGCAGAATCGACACCTCGACTGGATATATGCAATGTTTGAAACCCGAATCGACACCGCAACCGGTTTTCATTTCCAATCCTCCTTTGCTTTTCGCCAACTTTTAACATCAATTTTAGCAAGTAATTATAATTCAAACTATATCGTGTTTGGTATCATTTTAATCCGAAAAATTTCACCAATGCGTTAGTAAAAGTTTCAGTAGAAAAAAGTCAAAAATAATAAAGTTTTATAGTTGAAATAGTATTAGTCACACCGATACGTTTCGGCTCTTTCCTTTGATCATCGGACCTCTCGCTTTCCAACACTGTCTGTCCTTTTCTACGTTCACGCTTGGCTGCTCGTCGCGTGTAATCCGAGATTAGACACCTCGACTGGATATATGCAACGTCTGGGTCCCAATGTTTGTTGCATATATCCAGCTTTTACTGTAATGATATCACTGTATTCTACTATTCTATTACTGTAATTTTGTCATTTTTTAAATTATGTTTCACATTTATTTCTATCGTCATTTAACAAAATTCATTAAATTGATCAAAAATTTTAAATAAGTTTTTATTATTTACCATTGATTATGATTTTCTTATAATCATTATAACGAGGGAAATAATACCACTATTTGAAATAGAATAGTATTTTATGTAGTAAATAAAATGCTTCATTGTCAGCAAAATCAAACAAGAAGCAATAAAAAAAAAGAAAAAAAATATACATATGTATACTGATTGAATTGAGTAACCTCCTCCTGTTTCGAAGTCGGTTAAAAAAGAAAAACCAATCAATTGATGCAATCATAAAAGAATTACAAATACATCAATTTTTAGAAATTTTCTGCGAATATATGTATCTGTTGGAAAGATAATTGTTATTTTATTCGTACCGATCAGAAGAAATAATGCTGCAACAAAGAATGTAAGAATGTAGCCACGATAGGGTTCACCATGTTTCCCGTAACCTTTACTAAAGTAAATCAATCCAGGATAAATTCGATCTCGTCCCAATGCTTGTATCAATCGTGGCACTGATAACAAATTTGTCAAAGCTGTGGAAAGAGTTGCAGCGAAACAACCGGCGTAGATGAATGGACCCCAAACTGACATAAGTTGCATCACCTTAAAATGAAACAAAAAAATCATTAACTAAAACCTTTTAACCTAAAAACTTTTGCACTTTCAATTATTTTAATAATCATTCAAGAGATATTTTTATTATTATTTTTTTTTGTTTACAACATAACTAACTGTTGATATTTATTTAATGTTAATGTGCTTTAAGAAAACGACACATTAGTAATGTACTTTGAGAAACGATATATATATATTAATTACATGCTTTAAGAAAAGATACATTAAAGATACTGCGCGCTACCGCCGCGTCGTCGTGGCGAGAAAACGCTTCACTAACCATTACTATTCTTGATTTAAAAATTTCAAAAAATGTCTATTGCATCCTTTTTGTTCTAAGTATCTCATATATGTATAATAGATCAACTTTCATTAATTTATTATGCGGGATGTGCGTCTTCAATAAAAAAAATGTACGAAATAAAAATAAATTTAGGACTGTATCCATAAATTGCAAAGTGGTAAAAGATTTTTCAATTTATTCTGGCATTGAGAATTTTGTGCTTTTACGATACAATTACCAAGCATGGTAGACTTCCACAGGGAAAGTGGCGATATAGAGAAAGTGTCCCCAAGTATTGTATATAGAAGTCTAGTCTTATTATTATTCTAGTCCTATTGTTATTATTCATATTCTTAGATTTAATAATTAAAAGTTATATATATATTTTTTTAAATTAGCAATAGAAAAACATTATTTCAAGTAATATTTTTATGGTACACATAATGTACAAATTTGAGATTTTTAAATTAATTATTTCTATTTTTAATAATTAGAGCTTCAATACGCCCCAAAACAAATGGTCATTTTCATCGTGGCGTTCGTGTTAATATTAATATGTATTGCCAAAGTTAAAATTTTGAAAATTCCTGCTTTCTCTATAACGCTATTTACTCTACAGAAGCATATTTTGCTCGATATTGAACAATATTTTTGGGACATTCTTTATAATTAATGTAGGGATGTTATGTATGAGAGAAATAATTACTCGAGACGAATTTTGTGTTAAAATTATTAAAGAATGTCGTTATACACCGCACAATGTGCTATGTTAAAACGCTTCTCTTAAGACCAGATTCATTCTACCTCTCTCGATTGCATTCATCCTAGTATGTCCTGATATACCTATACTTGATGTCACGAGAGTTCATAACTGCGAAAAGACCAGTTTTCGTTCTTTTCTGCGCATTGTCGCTCTGATTGGTGATACTTCCAGCGGAAGTGGAAAGCGATTGGCGGATCGCTTTCCCCCACCATCGCTGCGTTCCCCCACCATCTTCCAACCTGCGCGCTTAGTTATGGACTCTCGTGACATCAAGTATACACATTCATAGCCTTTTCTCCGAAAAGAAACGCGTGCATTCTTCGTCCGATTACTAAAACTAAAAATCCACTCAACATCTTTCACATAGTCCCAAACACTCAACCCGGCACGCATTTTCTTATTGCACCGGTTATAAACACTCACGCATTCACATAGGCAAACGTTCGCCCCCACCCAGTAATGATTAAATAATTGTAAGATATCATACCGAATAACTGTTATGCAACCCATAATCGCAATTGACTTCTGGAATACAGCTTGCAATAGTGCCATTTAGACCAACATGGCCACTAGCATCCCTTAAGGCTGCTCCACCAGCGAAGACAACAAAGGTGACATAGCTGAACATTGAAATTAGCAATGCAAGTAGAGTTCCTATTGGTATGCTACTAGCTGCATCTTTCAGATCACCGGAGATATTGGCACCAGCTTGAATTCCAGTTACGGATGGGAAGAAGATTGCAAACACAGAGAAAAACGTTTGATTGCTGTTCTCAGAGAACCGATAATCTGGTCCCATGTTCTTCTTGAAAACTTCAGCTAAGAATTGAAAAAATAAATTTGTACTGACAACAATAACGTTTTTTTTTCTTTTTTTAATTTATAATAGATTTTTTTATGAAATACATTTACATTAAACCTTTGCATTTGCACTTACAGGAAAATCCAATAAATCCGTGTGCTTCTTGAGTTATGCTCTTCGGGCCCATGATAGTACCAATTAGAAAATCAAAAATAGCTGCAATAATGATGGCTATGAGAAAATTTTGTGCCTGAAAGGAATGAGATTTATTAAGTGACGAGTCTAAAGAAGATAGAAACATGGTGCACAAAATATAGCTCATTCAACCAATTAATATTATATTTTATAGGATGTTGTAAATAATTTTTAATGATAGTTTTATAAATATATCAAAATGTTCATGATTTAGAACATGAAATTTGTTTAAAATATTCGGAACAAAATGTATTTACGAATGTTTTGAAAGAAAATTAATTTTATATAATAATATAAATTTATACATACAATTTATATAATGAATATAATTAGTTTATTAATTAAACTTTTTAAATAAAATATAAATGCATTTTATATTTTTAACAATATTGTTTGTAATATAATAATTTGCTTGAATTATTGAACTTTTCATAATCAGTTAAACAAACGTAAATAAACAGTTTAATAGATTGAATTAATTTAACAAGTAGTTTTCAGTATTCGAATTTTAGAATAGAATTAAAATTTAATGACAAAATATTAAATGAACTGGACTATAAAATGCAATAAATGGAAATATCAATTATGCTATATGTATCATATTTTCTCCTTAAGAAATATAAGTAGGAGGAGTTCCCCTAGTATCGGACGGCACCTAGTATCGGACATTAGCTATATCTAAAACAGAGCTCGGCAAGATTTGCACTTTTCAGCCGATTTTCAGCTGGTTCCGCCTACCGCTATTCCCCTTGCCGCGACGTTCAGCGCGCGGCCTACGAACCGTTTGAGGCTCAGGAGCGTATCACTCGTGAACATATGCTGGCAATAGCTTTCCACCCCACCCGCGAGGTACTATTGTCGATTGTCGATGCGTTTTTTTTTAGTGGTTGCCAGCATACGTTTACGAGTGATACGCTCCTGACCCTCAAACGGTTTGTAGACTGCGCGCTGAACGTCGCGGCAAGGGGAATAGCGGTAGGCGGAGCCAGCTGAAAATCGGCTGAAAAGTGCAAATCTTGCCGAGCTCTGATCTAAAAGAACTGAAATGTGACAAAATTGTTTCAACCGTCAAACGTTTGTTTTATCCTTTCCTTTGTTTTGACGGTTGAAACAATTTTGTCACATTTCAATTCCTGTAGATATAGAATTGTCCGATGTCCGATACTAGGTGCCGTTCGGTACTAGGAGAACTCCCCCTACATGTTTGGTAGGGGTGTTCGGATACCGAATAATTCGGGTCGGTTTTGGATCGCAAATTTTTTTCGGGTTCGGGCGGGATCCCGAAAGTTTGTCCAGCACATAATATTCGGGTCCCTACTCATAATTTCAGGACTCGAACTCAACTCGTGATGCAAATTTCAATTACATCCGATTATATGTATACATACGATAACATATGAAAACACTTTCAAACGTACAAATTTTAAATAAATCTGAATAAGTTAGGCCCACTGTCCACGGAGCGTCATTGCATAGATGATGCGTCAATAAAGCGTATTTGACGTGACGATACGCCCTCGGTAATATTTTTTCCACGAAGCGTATACTAAGCGTACGCTAAGCGTAAAAGAACAGAAAAATGTTTATTTGATTTTATTTAGAAAGATGTCGAATGATGAGGATTGCAATCTATGTCGTGCGTTATAATACGCCTATCGACCGACAACGTCGTACGCCGGGCTTCGTGACGAAAGCATGCAGCGACGAAAACGCGACACTGACGCTTCGTGGACAGATGTCCATTGTTTTACGTTGTCGTGGCAATGAAGCGTACGGTAAGCGTAAATATCTAATACGCTTGCAACATATGTAGTGACGCCTCCGTGGACAGTGGGCCTTAGTGTCAGCTTTCGAATTAAGTTTCGAGTCTTAAGTCGAGTTCGGATCCCAAAATTATGAGTATCCGAATAAAATATACTGGACAAACTTTCGGTGTCTCACCTGACCCCACCCAATTATTATTACCCGCTCAGGCCTCAGCTTTGGGTATCCAAATTTTCAGATACTGGCACACCCCTATACTTCGTTCAACGAGACGAGTCGCCAAATCAAAACGAACAACTCCCTCGCTTTTCACGTGATCGGCCCTGCGACTGCGGTCATTGGCTGTCACATGTTACAACTCAGGGCCAAGTTATAATGGTCCCTTGCCGAGGGCTCTTGCATGCAAGGTCAGGCTTATCTTACGATGCGACGTGGGGATCCGGAACCCGTAAGTCGGCCCTGCTCTGCTCACGTGCACGTGTTTATATGTACTTGGTGACTCGTCTCGTTGAACGGAGTATAGGATTTGGTGAACACCACAGGTCACCAGCGTCCCATGCAGCGTTCAACATGTTACGGAAACTTCATCATTTGTTTTAAATTTGTTACAATTGAAAATAGATAAAACTAATACCTTCGATTCCCATTCCATTCCAATAGCACAGATCATGATCATAACGATTAGTGCAAGTACGCCCACAATTCGTACATCATTTACACCATTATCGATGATCTTCAAATTATGTTCTTTTAGCAAATCATTCAATGAATCGCAGAAACCGATGGTATTCATCGAAGCTGAGACTGCGTTAGCAAATGCAAAAACAATTCCCACTGATGCTCCGAATTCTGCTCCTAGGGTTCTTGAAATGATGAAGTATATACCACCTATAAGAAATGATAATTTATAAGTCGATGAATTAAATTATTCAATGGATAATGCTGGATCGTATAATTCTAAACGAAAGACTTTTGTATATCATAAAAGTATAGTAATGTTTGGAAGTGTCGTTGAAAACATAGAAAATAAAACTTAAATTTAAATTGTTATATATTTCAGAGGTTTGTCATTTGAGGGTTAATCTACGGCCAGATTAAGATTTCTTAGGCTCAAGACTATCAAACCATCGAGGGCCCCTTTGATTGGTAAACTTGGCTCATAAATTGAAATTTATTCTAAATAAAATTTAATAACATGTAATCGCGAAAAAGATAATGACCTACATAAAAATAATATTCAAGAAGAAATACATATAGGAGGAGAGAAGAGAGGGAAATTTGAAATTTCTTGTAATAGTAAATGGTAGGCTTAGAACGGGATCCCCTGTAGAGCAGCGTCCAGGGCTAAAGCCCCCCTTAGTTCTTTTCTTAATCCGGCGCTGCGAGAAACCCATCATGCAAAAGTAAAGTATTAAATTGTGGACCGTGCACACCAGAAAACAGATCATAAAGTTTGTTTTTCAAATACTCAACATTTTACTTATTACGACTTTCATTGTTTTTCGTTTGGATTCTTCATTAGCTGCATATCAATTTATAATTTTAATACAAGAGCGTTATTAAAATTTTATTTTAAACACTAACCACTGTATTCTGAATACCCTGTATACTATTCTACTTAAATAGTTTTCATAAATAAGGAATATCTTAATAAATAATCTTCAGATATTTCAAGAAACAAAGTATTAACATATTGCGGTACACCACCGGCACTGCAAATTAAATATACTTGAATAATTTAAAAAAAAAGTAGAAAAATATTATTTTGATTAGCATTGTTATTATGTAAATAGAAAGCTTAAAGTGCGAAGTTTGGAAATTAACTGTTCCCATTATTAATAATTATTGCTCTAAACAAATACCTATTTTCACTGTGTCAATTAATATGTTAATTATAAAAAAAAAAACATAATGACAATTTTTAATTTTTGTTATTAGATTGTTTCAAAATACTATGGTGACATTCATGGAAAAACAATTTTCAACGTTCGATAAAGTACACGGTGCCACTCCTTTGAAAAAGGAAAAAAGAGGAACGACGAGAATGGGGGTTCTGTAACACACCTCCCTTTACTTCCCCATTAGTACTAATTGCGCTGAGGCTAAGCGTTGTGATGACGCAGACAGCCGCCGATATTCCAATAATGATGACACTCTGCAGTATGCCGGCCTGTGCCACCACCCACGACAGCCGTAGGAAAAGCATCACACCCCATATGTTCAGCAGACACGGTATGAGAACACCCTGGATCCATCCTAACTTTATTCCGGTATGTCCTTGCTGCGTTGTCCCAGCTTGACCAGCTTCTATATTCGGATCCTGAAATTTCAACGTTGCTTATCTTTATTTCTCTTTCATTTCCTGCCGGCCGATTGTTCCCGTGTTACGGTTTTAGGATCTACTAACGTATCCGGAGAGGAAGTTTTATGCTTTGGAAGGTAATCAAAAAGACGGTTTTGGAAGACGATTGCGAACACGGTCAATGACATCACCGGATTCGCTGCTTGCTGAGTAAACACTCGTTTTTTTTTTTTAAACGACTTATGTTTCGTGTAGTTTGTTATATTCTTCGGAGACAGATTTATTGGGGTAATAAGAAAACTATTTTAATAGGATGGTGAATAGCGATACAAATGCGATACAATGGTAATGATTTCAGGAGGTATCTTCTTTTATTGTTGAAGAGAATGCTTATTTAGAATAATATTTGTTATAATTTTGTAGAATATTTTTGAATAAAAAAGCTATTAAATATACACCTATGTTAGATATGTAGAAGCCAAACTGATCAACTTCATAAAATAAGAAATAGAGAAAATGGTACATACTGTTATAATAGAAATAAGCTGTTATTATGTGTAATAGACAATAGATGATAGATGATAGATGATAGATTATAGAAATTATCCATTATTATTTATTATAGAAGTTATGCTATCATTTTTTTAAATTTTCCTTGGCGTTTATGAATAAATAATAATTACGCAGTAAATTATTTACAATGCAGATTTCAAACTGGAAGATACAGAATATATAAAAATAGATATATACAAAATATTGTTTATGTTTTTTCATATCTTGTATAAAGTTATGTAGTTAAATGATTCGATTATTGAAAGTATGAAATTTGTAGAAAAATAAGCAAGACAAAATGTATTATAATATTACTTGTTACGTAAATTTTAGGACAAAATAGACGTTGTAATTGTTATATAATTATTATTACTATGATTATAGATAACCTACTTAATATTAGATACCTACTTAACCGTCGAAACACTCAGTTTCACACGTAACAATTAATTTTTAATGCTTTCTCTTTTTTATATCTTTACTAAATTAAAATCACTTCTGTACTAATCTTGAAGGCATGGGATATATTTTTTATTTATTGCTGAAAGATGTCATAAATGCTTAACATTTATTAAAGTTTTATTTTTGTAGATGATCTATTTTTACACCATAATATAAATAAGTAGTTTTGACAATCCTTTAAACACCTTACCAATTGGAATTCTATAGATAGACTTTTTGGTGTCAGTAGTTATTTACTGAAAATTAATTAATAAACTTTTGATCTATAACTCATCGTCAGTTGAAATAATACAATTTAATGTACTACAATTGAGAGAACTTTAATAATATGGATTATTTGTTCTAATTTTCAGTTATTATTATAGGTTTTATTAATTCTACGTACTTAAACTAATTGTAAACGGTAAAACTAGGTAAACTATGGATGAAACGGGTTTGTCGCGGATTCGTCGCAGATTCGTCGCAAATTCGTCGCAGGGCACGTCTATTCCCCATACGTCGTTGTCGTCAACTGATTGTCGATTTTTTATGATCGGACACGACGCGGACCCCCTGCGACACCCCTGCCATTAGCAGTAGAATCTTGAATATTCTGGAATACATCTTTTATTTCCTACATTATTATTCAGAGCCGTCTTAACAACATGGTAGGCCCTAGTTAAGGTAATACACTAGACTCTGCTTACCAATGGAAACAAAAATGAGAGTGATCAATAAAATTAACATAGTTAATACAAACACAAATAATCAACACAAACTTTGAAAAATGTAACATAAGTCCTGAAAACCACAAATATTTTTTTTTCAATTTGGAGTTTCTATAATAATGGCACTCCTGGCAACTGCTCAGTATGTCCATACCTTAAGACCGTACTGTTGTTAACCCTAGAAAAATTAAGGATGTTTAGGTTAAATAACCTTGATAATATGAATTAATTTTTCTAATGTTTAATTACTGTTATTAACTTTAGAAACACTAAAGAAGTTGGGTTAGCTCTAGTTAGTTAAAAAATATTGCAAAAATTGCTCCATCGAAAAAATTTTCCGAAAATGATTGATTTTCACTTATGTATGTATTTAAGATGCATACTAAAAAGATGATTTTCCTGAAGATCATACTGAAGAAATGGTTTAGTACAAATATTATTAAGAAAAAAAATAGACAATGTTTATTTATCTCATCTGTTTTAAGTAGTTTATAGGTAAGTATTGATAAGTTGTTTGCCTATTTCAAGTAGCAAAAATAATGTTAGTGAAATTAATAATAAAAAAGAAAGTAATTGAAAATTATGATCCTATTGTGTTTTTTTCTTTTGATACATATTACTTTCCATATTCCAATTTTGATTTTATGCATTAACTTGTATATAACAGGTGAAAGTACATCATTTCTATTATGAATGTATTGAAAGAGAAAAAGTTTGCAATTAAAGTTTTTAATGAATAAGTTGATGAGTTCACTTCTTCTTTTATTAACTTCTTACGGTAAGTTTCGCGAAGAAAGAGGGTTTCGAAATTGATACTTTTTCTAATTTTCTTCGCAGCTGGTATTTACTGCTGTGCAAATTTAATATAGTGTCTCCCTCATGATACTTGTTCCGAGTTCGATCGACCTTGTTGGTAGTGGAAGCTCCTCCGAGTCTCATTTGACTCTCGACGCTACGAACTTTACGAGTTGATTACCTTGTTAGTTTTTATGCACACGTTTTGCACTCTGTATTTTATTTAATTAAAAATAATAAATGAGACAATTTTTGTATGACATAATCCTATTTGTTATTATGTTTAACAAAGTTTCGCATAAAATTGTAGATATATTCAAATGTAGGAATCTCATTCATATTAATATAAAAAAGAATTATTTAAATATATCGTATTGATAATAGCATACTCTTAATATACACAAAGTATATAATTCATGAAAATGTATTGTCTATCATTATTAAATATTTATTATTTTAACAGGACACTAAGACAATATATTTTCTTTTTAAATTAAATAGTTAGTATGTTATTAAAAACGATAGTTGGTATAGGTAATACTATTTTTTAATATATTTCGTTTCGTAAGATATATATATTTTCTTTTTATAAGATTTATTGTAAATATTTTTATGTGATTAATATTAAAATGCTGAGTATTGGATTGTTTGTTTTGAAAATGGTACAAGTTCATTTTTTGAGAAAAATGCGAAAACAAAAATTGACATATACATAATATAATGTGATCCTTTTATTTAGAAACTATTTGTATATTTTGTTTTTAATTGACTTAGCCCACTTTAAAAATAAACGATGCAATGTGTTATTAAGATAGCAAATCAATTGTATGTATAACAATCGCGACTAAAATATATTTACAGCACTCTGAAATAACAATTTTTTAAAATCTTCTCTTTCTTGAAAAAAGCATAGATTTGAGGTGCTTAAACCTACTACTGTATTTTAATCTGTATGGCCCAATCATTTTTTTTTTTTATTTATATAATATTTTTATTTAGCGCTTTGCTGAAATTAAATTTCCTGATTTTGTCTGTTTTCAATCATCTTGTCTATTTTCGAGTGTGTAAAAAGGTTTGTTATTACATTTATTAAAAAAATACATAATCATGATTGTTATACAAATAGTACTAGTTTTTAGAAATATAACAGATAGAGGTAAGTTAACTAAAATTTAAGTAGAAGTTAAATTAAAATCAATATTAATAAGCTGTGATATAACCTAAACGAAAAAGGATTTAATTAAAGTGTTTTGAAAATATCATTCATTTTTTAATTGCAAGTGATCACTAAATGTTGCTTTTCAAACTAGGTTTATACGATTAAATAATTTTCTACTATCAAACATTGCGTTGATTTGAAACTAGGTTTTAATAATAAAATGATCTTGTACAAAACATTACACGCTATCGTAATTTCTACACGACGTACATTCTAAAGAAAAAAGGAAAAAAAATATAATACGCAGAACACAAAAGAAAATCAGACTTGTGTGGCGTCGTCAGTCGTCAGTGTGGTGTTCGCGCCAAAAAAAACAAAGAATTACCAGATCGAGCGACCAACGTATGACAGAGAAAATATAATAATACCAACAGGGAAAAATAATTATCCGCAACACTAAATTATACCTTATTAGACATTTATAATGATTGATAATTGGGTATAGAACATAATTTTTCCTTTATGCTAACCTGCCGTCCTTGAATTAATTTTTTCCTGCTTCTTGTTTACAATATGATATGTAACGTGTTTCATTTCTTATTTATGCTGTATTGTAGATATAATTTTGCCCAGTATGAATATAGAAGCAAAATGAAGAAATGCAATTCCTATCCCTATTTTCTCATTCCCATTGATTGTGAGTCGTAGAAGAACAACCTCCATGATATTTACTTGATTTCGCTATTGTTACTTATGTGTAGTAAAATAAGTCATTCTACTCATTTTGATGTGCTGAATACGAGTATAATTGTCATTTTTGGCGTAAATTACAAGTTTCCGAGATAGTTGCAAAACATTTCATACTAATACATAGAATTTTACTCATACGTGTGCATCTGTGATACAGTCACAAGCATAGTTAAGAATAGAAGCTACTCCACTATACGAACAGAAGGTAATAGAGGGTGATTTTCTCGCTAGAGTACTCAAAGGAAATGCCACCGCACAAGTACGAATGGATCCAAACCCTTTTCGGTAAAATATAAAAGGATATTTACAGCATCCTATTAGTTTTCGAGATATTCATTAACAACTTTCCGTATAATCCACAGAATTTTTCCTATACAAATGTAATTAACACAACCGTCTTGGGTGTAGTAGCTGCTGCCGTCAGTTGTCGAAAATCCAGTGACGCAGCGGGGGTTCCAACCTGACTATCTACATGGTGTCCTGTTCAAAACTTCGGAGATACGACTGTCGTAGCGTTGCCGGCCGAAAATTTATTTAAGGGGGGAGCCTCACGGAAAAAAAATGTTTTCACGATTTTTTTCTTTTTGGTTAAA